GCTATGGCCTTCTTGAAGGCATTGTCTAGGAGGTCCTCGTTTCCTTGCCTTCACCATCTTCTCTCTGTTTGGACGCCGGCAGGTCCTGGTTGTCGTCATCACGTTGGGGCGAGAGATGAGCGGATCTCCTTCTCTCTTGCCCTCTTGTTGTCCTTCGGAGTTAAGCTGGTGTTTTGGCAAGGCGTTTGTAACCCCCTTGTTGGCCTAGTGGTGACTGGCCATGCTTAGCGGCGGTCGGCTTGGTGCTAGTGTCTTCTTCAATGTGTTGTGTGAGGAGCTACAGCTCGTGGTGGCGGTGTGTTTGTTTTTTGTTTTTCCTAGTTATAACCTCCTAGGTTTTGATCTTGTAATTTTTTTTCCTGCTATATCAATATGAACTTTGCACTGTCTGGTGTGAGTTGTTAAAAAAAAAGTTAGCGATGGTCCTGTTATGTATCCATCAAACTGTTATTTGTAATTCACAATGGCTGTAGCATTTTTCTAAGCAAAGTCATGATAGTTTCTATTTTCTTTAAAAAAAGATCAGCAGCCAGAAAGTCCATCCTCTTTTAACTTCGAGAGAACGTCCAAGGAATTAAAGCAACGTGCATTGGCGGCTATATATAATAATCTTCCCCTCTACATGTTCTGTTCTGGAGTCAATAAACAACCCAGTCTCCAAAAATGTCTCAAATGGAATTCCCCCACATGCATGCAGAGAAAAAGGATCCTTTTGGTGGAAAGTTAACTCCCCTTTTCAGAGCAATTTCAAATGTAACAGTTGGCGAGGGAGATACTACTCTGTTTTGGAAAGATCAATGGAATGGACATGTCATGTCTGAAGAGTATTCAACGCTATTCTCTTCTGTTCTTGATGAGGACAAATCAGTGGAAAATTTTATACAAGCAATACAGCCATCTGATAACTTTCACCTTCCTCTTTCTTTGGAAGCAATGCAAGAATGGAATATTTTATTAAACTAGAAAGGTAGCCCGCGCATTTGTGTGGGCATTATTTTAGATTACGTTTGAAAAAAATTATATAGACGGAATATCAACCGGATGACACCTCTCATGTTTCAAAAGCACTATTTCTCCATAAATTTTCTTTATCATCACTGCTTAGATAATTTTCTAAAACTATTAGTTAGCTTTTAAAATATATAATATTTAATACATCGCTATAAAATAATTTATAATTATCTATAATTGATTTTAGGAGGTGAATTTTTTCTTAAAGATAATTATAGGGTGTTGCGATTTCGTATAAGAATATCCATAATACTGACATACTTATAGTAAATATGGGTTTTAAACTGTAAATTTATCTAACAACATAAACTTATACTACCACATAAACCTGGATAGGTGCCGGTTGGGAAATCCGGCACCTATGCCGGGTTCCCAAGCGGTACCGAGGAAGTGGCACATATGTTGGAAATCAAAGGTGCTAGTTCCAAAACCATGACCTTTGAGGCTCCAGGTATTCCAAAAAAAAGGCATCGAGTAGCTTCCCTTCACCCCGCCCAGAACACATCAAAGAACATCAAGAACATCCAAGAACACATCAACATGAACATCAAGAATATTCTTCCCAACCACCGGGAACCATCGAAGCTACTCATCCCCATCAAGAACACAATCACAAAATACACATCAAGAATAGATAGATAACACAAAGAGCCACCGCTCGACACCACCTCTGTTGCTGCCGCTCGACACCACCGCCCCTGCCGCTGCCTCTCCTCTGCCGGATCTAGCGGAGGGGGAGGGCGTTGCTGCCGCCTGCCGCCTGGTCCCTGTGGGGAGGGTGCCACCGCCTCCCCTCCCGCCAGATCTAGCTGAGGGGAAGGCGTTGCCACCGCTGCTGGGCCGAGAGAGAGGAGTGCGCGCGAGAGAGAGAAAGAGGAACGTACAAGACAGAGAGCGAGAGATAGAGATAGAGCGAGAGTGGAGAGTGCGCACGAGAGAGAGAGAGAGAGAGCGAGAGACTCTCGGTCTTATCTACGCGAGAGAGAGAGAGAGGCGCTGAGCCTTCTCAGCCTTATTTGCTTAAGACCATAGGTCTGCTCTGTTTTTTAGTGTCGGTTTTAATAAAGTAAATTAATGGTGTTAGTTTTTGTTAAAAAACACAATCACAAAATACACATCAAGAACAAATAGATAACAAAAAGAGCCGCCGCTCGACACTACCGCCCTTGCCGCTGCCTCCCTCCGCCGGATATGGCGGAGGGGAGGGCATTGCCGCCGCCTGCCGCCTCCTTCCCATGGGGAGGGTGCCACCGCCTGCCACCGCCTTCCCTCCCGCCGGATCTAGCTGAGGGGAAGGTGCCGCCACCGCTGCTAGGCCTAGAGAGAGGAGTGCGCTCGTGAGAGAAAAAGAGGAACGTGCGAGATAGGGAGCAAGAGATAGAGATAGAGCGAGAGAGAGAGTGTGTGTGTGGAGCGCGCGAGAGAGAGTGAGAGACTCTCGGTCCTATCTACGCAAGAGAGAGAGGCACCGAACCCTCTCAGCCTTATCCGCTCAAGACCATCGGTATGCTCGGTTTTGTAGTGTCGATTTTTAAAAACCGAGTGTCGGTTTTAATAAAGTAAATTAATGGTGTCAGTTTTTGTTAAAAAAAAAGGGGGCACCTATAGTCTATTAAAAGTGCCAGTTTTTTTATTTTCAACATGCAGTTGTAGGAAATGGTCTATAGGTGCTGGTTTTATCACTTGCGGCACCTAATGTCGATCTCTATATGTCTTTTTATAGTAGTGTGATTAAAATATATTCGTATGATTTAGTTACTATATAAATAATCTAACAGCATAAGCATACTAGAATACTTTTATGATTTAAATGCAATAGTTTTCTAAATGTTTTCACATAAATTTTGCTTTCTATTAGAAAAAGCAAAATAGGAGAGAGAAATAGATAATAGAATGAAAAGAGGAATGGAAATAGGAGCGTACAAAGTTGTTACGTATATATATGCATCCACACAAATTGAGTGGGGCCCAAATTGGAAGGAGATTAGGATGAGTAGATTACTTTTTTTTTTATGCATCTAATCTAATGGTCGAAAAGGATGGGCCCACCAATTTAAATGAAAATCAAGGGCTAGATGTTTCTTTGCCACGTGGCAGCTTAGGAGCGTTTGTAGAGTGCCACGTGACGACATAGAAGCGTTTGCAGAAAGTTTAATGGACTTTTAGTATATAATAGATAGATGTAATACATGACGCCTTGAGACAAACCAAAATGAAGACGGCTGGGCTTACTTTGGAGAAAATAAAAACTTCAGTACAAAGAAACCATATAATCTATACTTCGCTCATATTCAGCCGTCTCCACCCTTATCTATGATATGGAAAAGTAAGTGCACAGTGAAACTCAAAGTCTTTTTTATGGCTATTAATGGTCGATGGACTGAACACTAAGGATATGATACAAAGAAGACACTTTACCATCCAAAATGGTCCAGAATGTGTAATGTGTACAGAGTGCATACATGAGGATATCAAGCATCTCTTTTTTATTTGCCCGTTTGCAAAGCAGTGTTGGCAGTTTCTAGGAATCATTTGGCATGATCAATTGACTTTAATGGATATGATAACAGATGGAGGCACTCAATTCAATTTACCTTTCTTCATGGAAGTTTTAGCAATTGCAACTTGGAATATTTGGAAAAGAAGGAATGATTTAATTTTTAAGAATATACAGCCGAGTTTTGGCTTTTGGAGGGTGAACTTCAAAGAAGATTTTGCTCATAGAGCAAAAGAGTCACACAGAGAAATATGGCAATCATGGATTGATACATTCTTGTAAATTCCTGTAACCCAACAATCTTCTTGTAAATATTTCTCTCGTTTCACGTAAAAAAATACATGTCTCATGTGCCGACATAGCAGTTTTCCAACAAGCTACATGCAAGTTGCAGAACGGGAAAAGAAAAAAAAGGGCGGCTGCGTTGGAGTCGACCCATCTCCACACGAATCATGCATTTGATTTGAATACGAGTATACAACCCATTATACGTCCAAAGAAGAAAAAGAAGTACTCCAAAGTACTGGTACGATTTTTTTATTTTTTATTTTTACGATTACATACAGAAGTGATTTCTCTTATGTTTGTAAGACTGGGCTAACATATTAAAATTGATGAAGTTAGTTATCGACGGATAGGTCGTCTACCACTGATAAAATAGCCGTAAATGCAATGCTTTGAACGCCGATGTTTTGTCAATGTTTTTTTAAAATATGTATTTGTATTATTCCTCCCTAGAAAAGTATATGATATTTATTTTTTACTAAATGTAGCACATACATTTTAATACTTTTGTATTAGTTAACGGCTTAAGATTTTGAGATTTTCTCAAACGTATTTTGGGACATCATTCCGGCCATGACAACCGAGGGAACAGATAAAGAAGTTAATTTAAACTTTTAATTTGCTAAAGGAGTGTGGCTTCGTGGAAGCTCGCTTGTGCTTGCTCCTTGCTGCTGCGGCTGCGGTATCTACTAGCCAGCACAGCCGATCGCGACCACTACTTACTGTTAGTTGGAGCCGTTTTTTCCAAACTAATGGCGACGTTTTGTTCTTGTAATGCCAGAATTGGCCGCCGGGCTGGGAAAGTCAACGATCGAATGGCCGATGTATCTTTCTTTATGTTGCCCGTATGGTACGGCATTAATTCGGCTATAATCCACTGTTTGTGATTTCTGATAACGTAGAATATAGATGCAAGTACTGTTTCTATATTATTTGTAGTCTACTATACTCCCGGTCGTGTGGAAAAAAAATCGTCTTACAAAACTTACGTGTGGCATACTGATACTGGCGCAATAAAACCGTCATATATACCTGATAGGTTTGGTCCGTACGTGTACGTTAACGACGAACTAGTGGCCTGACCCGACTAATCGTCGATTAGTCTTTGCTTTCTTGGATGATTGGTGCTTGACCCAAAAGATCTTTCAATTTCTAAGTGCCGAAAGCAAGTAAGTTGAACATTATACAGCAAGGGGTCTATATATTGTGCCCCTTTGGCTCCGTCGGCATGTCAAGCTTCCAGAGCACACCGGCCAACTTTTAGCCTCCTGATCTGGTTTTGTTTATTCATCTTCCTTTGCTACTCTCCAGTATCCTATGGTCTCCCCATACTGATCTCCGTCAGATCAATTTGTTCGCTTTTGATCTCAAACCAAGGTAAGATATATTCGTCTCACATTCCAAAGTAATTAATCATTTTGTATAATTGGAACTCCTGGCCTTTTTTAACCGTACATCAAATACGCATGCCACACTGACATCACACACATGTGCCTGTCCGATCCAACACAGACTTTCTTATAGAGACTTAGAGGAATTTTCTAAATCCTCTGGTATGTGGGTAAGTCACGGTCTAATGAACACGCCTGGGTCAAGAAATCAATCAAGGGGAAAGAGGTTGAAAATACCATTGGGTGGCTGATCACCTGCTGATCCTAGGGAATTGCGCTAGGCGTAGTATTACAACAGAAATTATTTTTTCGGCCACTAGTTTTTTACAGGTGGCCCTACAAGAATAGTGCCTGAGAAAATGGTTGAGGCTGTCCTATAGCATCTCCAACAGACTATCTAAAATAGACTCTCTAAATACCTATATAGCCAACTACCCAATTGATTTGGCAAGCCAAACTCATTGCTCACTCCAACAAAATCTCTATCTACACTCTCCATTCTGAGTCTATTACATTGGGACTCACTTGTCAGCCTTTACTACCCCTTCTTTTTCCTCTTTCTTCCCTTCAACGTTTCTTCCCCTCTTCCTCTTTTGATATTCTCCCAGCCCTTGTACGGACGACGACTGGCGATGACGGCAGCTGCAGCGGATGGCGACGGTGGTAGATGGCGACGACGTCGGCAGCTGTAGCCCAGGCCTTGGCTCGGGGAAGCGGAGGCGGTGGAGGCTACGCGCCGGCCGAATCTGGCGACGACGGCGGGCAAGGGAAGCTGGCGACGGCGACCTCGGTCAGCTACCGGCCAAATCCGCATGGGGGTGGAGGTCATGCACCCCTACCCCCGCCCCAAAATCCACGCCGGCCGAATCTGGTGGGGGCGGAGGAGGTGGCGGTGGCTGCGCGCCGGCGAGGGGGCATGTGGATGGGAAGCCGTTGGCGGCGGTGCCGTTTCGTGGACGAATCTGCGATGGCGGCGCCTCGGCTCCAACGATGGGGCGAAGGCCGGCGCCACACGACGACCACGGCAACTGCAGCGGATGGCAGCCTAAACGATGGCAGCGGCGACAGCGGCGGCACACCATATGTTAGTGTTGGCGCCCAGAGCCGACGACAGTGGTGCTCAGAGTGGATGGGGGAGGAAGAGAGTGTGGGAGGAGAGAGGAAAGGGAGAGAGCATCACGCGTGGGGCCCACGATTAGCAAGCCAATTTGGACTGGCCATATTTGGCCATTGAGGGAGGCAATTTGGCCAGTCAAATGGCTTGGCCATCCGTTTAGCAAGACTGTAGAAGCTCGTTTTTTGTCCATAATTGCCAAGTTTTAGCTTGGAGAGTGATATGGTCACTCTGTTAGATATGCTCTTCGATCAAATACCATCTTCAAAAACCTAATTTTACGGGTGGATCTGTAAGAAATCCACATGTCAAAATAGTATGTTTTTATGGGTGGCTCTATACGAAATCAGCCTAAAGAAATTGATTTCTGTGGACGGGTTTATGTATGAAAACCACCCTTAGAAATGGAAGCATTACCAAATTATAAAAGAAAATCATAACTCTTTCAAATGAAGTTGGATGATGACAAATTCTACATTAAAATTGGAGCCCTCGATAAGATCTACAACTTTGCTTTGAAAGTTTATTCATTTGAGATCGTTTAGGGTTCAAATATTCCTTTTTCATCTCAGATCTATTTTTGAATCTGTTTTTCTAAATTTCCTCACGACCATGAATGAAGACATGATCTGTATTAAAATTGTAGAGTCTATGAGATCTTTAACTTTGTAATTTAAAGTTTATACATATGGGATAAATTAAGTGCCCAAATATTCTTTACAAGATTTGCTATCTATTTTTACTAGGGATCTTTACAAAGTAGAAAAACTTAAATAAAATTCTAATATTCACATTTAATATGATTGAAGTTACAAGTTCTATGAAATTCTTATATCATTTCCTATAATAGGACATAATTACTACTTTTATGGAATAATTTTTAGTATAGTCATTCACAAATGTCATAATGTCAAGTTACGTAACACATCAACTGATAAGAACAATCGTATTAAAATGAATATTTTTAGTAAATATGAATCCAACAATATTAAAGAGAATATTGTAATGAACCATATTAAAGAGAATATTGTAATGATCATAAAGAACTTTGGTTCACCTCAATCGAACTTAATTTTCTACAAAATTTTAAAGTTTAGTAACTTTTAGAAAATTAAGGAAAAAAAGAATTTTGCAGGCAGATGCCATAAAGAATCCACCCTTACAATAAATTTTACAGAGAAACTTACTTAGAAAAAAAACCGCCTATAAAAAAAGACATTCCGTGAAATGACAACAACATTAACATACGAAGAAAAACATAACTCTTTCTTTTGTATGATGTCAGATTATAATAAACTTTTTATGAAAATTATAGCTCTCGAGAAGATACAGAACTTTGCAGTTGAACGTGTTTCATTTAAGATCAGTCATGGTGCCAAATATTCGTTACAAACTCTCAGTTCTACTTTGATAAAATTATTTTTTACGTGTTTCATATAAGATTGATAGAGATATACTCCCTCCATCCCAAAATATCTGACGCTGTTAACTTTTTTTAAAATGTTTAACCGTTCGTCTTATTTAAAAAATTTAAGTAATTATTAATTCTTTTCCTATCATTTGATTTATTGTTAAATATACTTTTATGCATATATATAGTTTTATACATTTCACAAAAGTTTTTAAATAAGACGAACGGTCAAACATGTTTAAAAAAATCAACGGCGTCAAATATTTAGGGAAGGAGGGAGTACTATATATCAAAGTTGTTGAGCTCGGCGTGATCTACAAGTTTGTAGTTGATGACATTTTCATTTGATAGCATTTAGAGTGTTAAATAATAGCATTCAACCCATAGTCACGAATCGATTCGTGGGTGAGATGGTAAAGAATCTACGACGCTATAAGCTGCAGATGCACATATTTCGTGCGTAAAATCACGTGACCTGTGATTTGTAAAATCCTGCCATCCATAGATGACTACTAAAATACGAAATATATTTTTTCAAGCTTTTTGCACCTATAAAAACATAAAGCTTGAAATTCATTTTTATAGGATGGTCTTTAAAGAGTCTCTAATAAAATTCATTTTCAAAGGTGATCGGTATTTTGCCGTACAAATGCCGTAATTTTTACAGGCAATTTGTTTTTTTAATAATGGAATAAACATTCCGGCCTTTGCTCATCAAAGCTACAGCCAATTATTACAAAGTATCACTCAAACAAAGAGTGTAGTTCATAATGAAATTAAACACACCCAATAAAATAAAAGACCAAACCGAAATAAAAGACCAAACCGAGATAAGGAGTACACATTTATTTAAATCTATTTATGAATCTCTATCCATAGTTTGCAAAAAGTTGCATAACTGTCGTCTCAAGCCTGCGACATGCAATCTTCATAAGCTCTCCATCATCTTCACACTTTTGCAGCTGTGCCCAACACTGGAGCCAATATGTTGCCCTGAAAATTACCTGCAAATATGAGATAGATGGCGATTTGTCAAATACCATATCATTCCTACTCAACCACAGAGCCCAACATATGGCAGATGCTCCTATAAGTATGAGTTTACTCTTCTTGTCAACCCTCAAAAGCCAACCATCAAACATATTAGATATGGTTCCAGGAAGGTATAAACCAAATGAGAACTGAACTGCTCTCCAAACAAATTTCGCATAATGACAATCTATAAAAAGATGTTGAATGGTCTCGTTTTTCATACAGAAACAACATCTTAAACTGCCGTTCCAATTTCATCTTGCCAAATTGTCCTTAGTTAGCACAACCCCTTTTAGCAAGTACCACATAAAGATCTTAATCTTAAGCGGCATCTTAAGCTTCAAATAATCTTATTTCTCTCAATATAACCATTATTAATAAGAGCTAGATACATTGACCTATCTGAAAATCTACCATTCTGGTGATAATTCCATCTAAAATAATCAGAGGATTGATTCAACTGAATATGTACAATAGAAGCACACAATTCATGCCAATATTCAAGATTCTGACCAACTAAAGCTCTCAGGAAATCTCGGACCTTTGCTTCAACAAAAACCACGATCAATTTCGTGCGAGCTTTTAAGCTAACTATGCCAGCAAAAAGAGAAACACCCATGTAATTAATTACCAATTTCATATTAGCATTTCACAACATGATGCGTTTAATCCCTTGTTACTCTCTCCGTTTTAAAATAAATAAATCTAGTACTGGATGAGACATATTTTAGTACTACGAATATCTGAATATCTAGATATGTTTCTCGTGTAAATTCACAGTAATTTTCTATTATTTGTTTATTTTGAAATGGAGGAAGTAGAAGTTAGTGTATTTGTTTGCAAGGATGGATCAAACCGCAAAGCGTCATATGATGCATGCTTATCCATGGTCGTTTCCGTCTGATCCGGACAAGACTGCCGTGGGTGGCTAGTATGCATATGCAATTATCAATATGGACCAGTTTGTTTTAGTTTTACATATATTGTGGCGGCGAATGATCAATACATAATTAAAAAATAGCATTCTAAAGTATATACAGAGTTATAGGATATATTATATGCCACCTACGCTTCAAATTTTTGGGACGAATCCTCTATAAACTAGATAATATCCCGTGCGTTGCCGCAGAACATTTCTATACAAAATAGCTACCATTCGATAAAAAAGAATGTAATATGAAAACGACATAAAAAATATGAGAAAGAAAAATAACTGTGACTGAAAAACATGCGTGAGAAGACAACTGTGACTGAAGTTTTACGACATGCATATTTTACTTGATAAATCCGACATGCCTAGCAAATAAAATACCAATAATGTATATAGTAGTTATTATATTAGCGCTTTTGTGGAAGAGATTATTTAACTAACATTTTGGAAAATCAACATAATCGATGCATGTAAAACGGTGAATGCAAGTGGAGCAACTTGTTTGACAACCTTATGCGTAAACGCTCGGGCAATAGTCTTTTGGTAGGCAATTCGATAACATGCATATAGTACAATACTTTTGCCAAATTATATCAACTGTGTTGAAAAATCATTGAACCTGTCTCCAAGGTTTAGCGTAGCTCCAAAGGATTAGGGAAGCAGACCACGGCGGTAGTGCAACGAGCCTTGACAATGGTGAGAGGTGGGGAGCTTACATGGACCATGAAATCATCCCACCCGACCATATACTAACACTTAAAATTAATTGCTTGCTCTAATGATTTCTGGTAGCAAGTACTATTGCTTAACCGCTTAATTGTAGGTCGACTCGTTTTCTTCTAACGCTTGCGTAATTAACTGCAGGTCAATTCGTTTTCCTAGTGTAATTTGAAGAAGCCGGAGGCTTTTCACATTCATGGTGATAAGGTTTTAAGCATGATCCACGAGTGTTAGTGTTAGTGCGATGTAGTTATGACAATGTAATATGATGATGTGCTTAATAGTGCACTAAACGCATGTGCCGGTACGTACTAATAGCAGTGTAAATATGATAACATGGCTACACTGAGGATGCACTAATTAATCGATGAAATCTCAAGCATCCATTGAAAATCTAATGGCCAAACTAAATAGCGATGATGTGGCACGCTGTGAGAAGAGAGAATTAGAATAAGTGGGGATGAACTTTATATAGATATATAGGATTCACGACTTCTCCAGTGAACCAGGGAACCGGTCATTCTCGCATCTCGTACTACGCATATCCACTATTAGCACGTCATTTTCTCTGTCCTCTTTCTTGAAGGACAACAGAAAATCACAGTAAGAACAACTCCCTCCGTCCCATTTTAAAGGCCGTCGTGGTTTTTTTATTCAACGTTTGACTATCTATCTTATTTCAAATATTTATAAAAAATTTTAAAAAATAAGTCACGTATAAAGTATTAATTATTCATATTTTTTCATCTAATAACGACAAAAATACTAATCATAAAAAATCAAATAAGACGAACAATTAAACATTGGATATAAAAACCCACAACTGCACTTAAAATAAGACGGAGATAGTATTTTTCTGGTCTTGACAAATCAATTAGCACGACGGAACTATCCACTATAATTTTAAAATACATAAAATATTTAGTGCTTGTGGTCATTTATAAATGTTACCCAAAACCACTAAAACTAGGGCTAAGGTTAATAAAAAGTCCTGTCCAGATTTGTTGTACTAGTATATATCGCATCCAACCAAAATCCCTTATATTTACGGACGGAAGGAGTACAAGTTTTAAAAGGAGGGGCTGAAATGGAGATTTCTTTTTCATACTGCAATTTAGGCGTTCTTTATAGGTATAAATGTATATTATACTCCATGTTACTGTTGCGTATGAGTAGTTAAATATATGACTTCTGGAACAGATTTGAAGGTCTTGTAATGGGGTCTTCAGAGCTCAGGTCACCGACTTTGAACTTGTCCATAGCTTGCCCCCAGCTTACACCAGCTGCGTCGACCTTTCCAGCAGCAGGTAAAAGATCTGATATGTATATATGTAGACAAACAAGTAAACATGGCAAGAATTAATATCATGATTCCATTGATATTCTATATAATTATTGACCTTACTGTAATTAGTGACATATATGTAAAAAATCCTATGTTAAATCATAGTAAGTATAGTGTACAACTTTGATATTTCAAATAATTTTGTGTGCATATGCTTGGTTGGATCACTTTATTGTATAATTAGCTGATGAACTATCATTTTGCTTTAAGCATCCAACTATTGCCAGCTTGATGAACTGCTGACAGAAGAGGAAAAGGATCTACAAATCAAAGTCCGGCAGTTTATGGAGAATGAAGTTGCACCAATAATATCCAAGGTTGATTGCAGTTAGTGGGTTAATATAGACCCTATTTTGTTTACTTTTCATGTTGAGGTTAATATACCATTTTTTTCTGTTTTTCTTGTTGATTCTATTTTGCCATATATTAGTTTTGGGAGAAGGCCGAATTCCCGTTTCATCTTATTCCAAAGATGAGCACTCTCGGAATTGCTGGAGGAACTATAAAGGTAAATAGATAGTAATTTGTTCCAGTACAATTCTATCAAACTTATAACCCTCAAAAATGGCCTATGTCAACCTTCTAATGTACTCCACCTTAACTTGACCCTTGATAACTTCGTAATATCAACTGTTGGGTCATGGTGGAATTAATAGAATAATCGTGGTCTACTATAAAAGACATTGCTGTTTTAACCGTCACCTTTAAACCATTCATGTTTCAACACGGCGTCCATCAATAGTTCAAACGTAGAGATGTTCTACTAGGTTAAAATAGTTTATTTTAAAAAAACTAAAACTCAGAGAATAACTTATTCCTCTAGTAAAGTATTTTTTAAACTGCTAAACAATGTGTTTTTTGCAAAAAATTCTATACAAAAGTTTCTTTAAAAATCATATTGATCCATTTTTTAAAAAAAAAGCTAATACTTAATTAATCACGTGCTAATAAACCGCTCTGTTTACCGTGCGCAGGAGAGTTGTTCCCATCTCCTCCTAACAAACTCAGCCTTAACGCTAATTTTAATGATCTAAAATACCGTGCCCAATGAATATATGTGTTTAAATTACAAACTTAGTTTAAACCATTTTGTGAAGATTCTTAGCCTCTCAATTTAAAACCTGAATGAACTTCCAATTTAGCATTCTGGTTAGTTTTTCGAATAATTAATTATTCACCACTCTTACGAGTAGTGATAAAGGATTTGCCACTGAACCCATATGACATCATAGACACATGAGAGCCCACATGTCATAGATAACGAGTGGCAAATAATTAATTGTCACTGGCAAAAAGTTAAATATCCCCATTTTTTTAAGTCCACATTGCAGTTATTATTATTGATAAATAAGCAATGGCCCAAACTTCTGACTAATTAATCTCACATCGGTTTCCACAAGTTTATTTGTTTAGTTTTTATCAGATGTGCCACGTTTATCTTGTACATAATCACGCTGTTTTTTGTGCAAAATATGTATAACCCAAAATTACTAAATATTCCAGCATGCATGTCTATAAAATATCAATTATATTCAGTAAATTTATATATATATATATATATATATATATATATATATATATATATATATATTTGCTATTACTACTTTTGTAGATTCACCAAATATACGTATATGATATTAGGTGTTATATATTTCAGCTAGCTAGCTTGTTCGTTCATAATGATCAGAATATATGGTTACTAGCCTAAAAATAGAATATACGATTATTTTAGATTGGAAAAAGTACGAATTACCCCACTGAACTATCGCGGTCGTCCGAATTACCGCCCTGAACTCGAAAACCAGGTATCACTCACCCTGAACTTCTTGTACCGGACGAATTACCACCCTCGATCGAATCCAAAGCGGTTTCGTCCTACGTGGCGTACACGTGGCAATACAGTCAGCATTTTCTTTTAAAGTAATGGCGGGACCCACATGTCATACCCAATTCCTCTATCTGTTCTCTCTCTCTCTCGCGGGCGCAACCACGCGCAAGGCATGCACAGCGGAGGCGGAGGTGGACCGGCCGGTGGCGGAGCTTGCCCGGGCGGTGGGCGGCCAGTGGGAGCGGGCAGTCCGCGGCGGAGACGGAGCTCTCCCGGGCGGCAGGCGGCCAGTGGTGGAGCGAGCAGTCGGTGGCGGAGACAGAGCTTGCTCGGACGGCGGCGGCGGCTGAGGCGGAGCTTTCCAGGGCAGCCATGGCGACGTTGAGGTCGTGCAACGGGTCCCCGCCGCAGTTGAGGCGCTCGAGCTCCGCCACGCCGAGGCCGAAGCGACGGAGGTTGAGGACGAGATGCATGATGCCGCCGGTCTCGGGGAGGATGGAAGGGGCAGCGGCGACATCCTCCTCCCTCGTCACCCCTTCGTGTCCGCCCTGCAGCTGCAACTGCTCGCCACCACACGTCGCCCCATCGCCGTCACCCTCTTCCCACATCGGCGTGTGGCGCAGTTCTCGATTCGCCTCCGCCACCGGTCGCCGAGGCGAGCTCCGCCTCCGCCCCGGCAGCCCGGTACACCACCGGCCGCCGCCTCCACCTCCACCCCCTGCCGCTCGGGTGTGCTCAGCCTCAGCCGCTGACGCCGCTGACCGCCCGCTCCGCCACTGGCCGCCTGCCGCCCAACGAACTTCCACTACAAGAATCTATTTAATCTATGACAAAAAAATTCGTCATGGATCACTGAAAATTCATCACAGAAATTTGTCTATGAAGATTATACTCAACGTCATCTATTGAGCGTCACCGACGTTTTCTCCGAAATCGTCACGGATCAGCACAATCTATGACGTTTTTTAACTGTCATAAAACGCTTATGGGCTCATGTAGTCCAGCCCAGGCCCAACCTTTGTGACGAAATTAAACGTCACAGCTGGTTGCCATGTGGCGGCCAACATGGCAGGTGACAGGTGACGTGGCCGTTTTGACACGTGTGCGATGATGTGTCACTGATGACGTGCCAGCTGACGTCAGCAATTTTTTTTGTACGGCCCATTATTTTTCTAAACGGCCCATTATTTTTTTTGACAGCCCATTATTTTTTTTAGACTGGCCCATTTTAAAATTGGCCCATTTCAGAACTAGGCCCATTTTATCAACCAACTATCAAATCAAAGCCCACTAAACAAGCCCATTAAATTTGAGCCCACCAAATTCAATCCAATTTCTCATACCATTTCAGATTCAAATCTAATTGCAGGTACCATCTCAGATTCAACTAATAACAGATACAATCAGAATACAACAGAATTCAAACAATATTTCATCTCAGATTCAACCTAATAACAGGAAATCTGAAAACAGAAAACAAAGCAAATCTTTCAAACATTGAATGGAATCACTCCTTGCTTCTCGTCCTCCACTCATAGCAAATAGAGGATTGAATTACATCAAGGCCTTCTTGTTGATGTGCAAATGGAATTTTTTGCTACAACTTATACATAGCTTCTTGAGATGTGCTGCAAAAATACAATTTTAGTGTCAATACTAGGAGTCAACAATATTAAGTCACTAAACTACTCAACAATATTAGTCCTCCCTCCTAATTTTCTTTTTCTAAATGTGAATAAATATAGGTTAATGGAGTTATTTTTGTGGCATATGTTTAGGGCATCCTCTACTCAGAATTAGAAGGACAACAGAAGGCATTAAACTATAGAATAATGGTATGAATAAAGTAATAAGCACCTCAATATATCTGTCCATAAGAAATAAAAGGACAGGTACCAACCAAAAACAGGCAGGACATCACCTAAGATTAAATCATGCAGTACAATGCCCTCCATAAACTAAGATCCACAAACAGAAGTTATTTATACAAATGACTACAAATATTTCATCTCAAACTCGAAAAAGAAAAATGCAGTCTCAAGCTCAAACCAGCAATAACATCAGAAACATCAAATGCAATCTAGCTATCCATCGCCCGCTAGGCTACATACTACCTATTCACCTCTTCACTTCTCTTTCAGCAAGGCATAAATAAATGATGTGAAAATGAGACGACGTTACAAATATATTTCGACTGATTATGGTTGTCACCATATAGGAATTACAGATTCAGCAGAGGAGAAAAAATGATTTGAGGGCCAACCATGCTTAAAATTTAGCGCTAATTAGGAAGAGTTATTATTCATTGCATGGAGATAAATAAATATGGACACAAAAACTCCATGGTGCTTCAATAGTGCTACAGAAATGCATCAAAAGGGAACTTTCATACCTTATCACAGATTTCCCAATTACCCTCATATCAAGTTATCAACCATATAGAGCCAGTGATCTTCAAATTTATATCAACCATATACAGCTATTGATCTGCAAATTGCAAACTTCCACACATCCAGAGAACCAACCTGGAATAACAATCTGCCTATCTTCATTGAGATTTGAGAGATATTGATCATGTAGGAAGCACTGTATCTGAATAGAAATAGCCAGGCTCAGTTCCACTAAGTGCAGGCAAAAGTAGCAAAAGTAGCTAGGCTAGTTATTGTTAAAGAGTTCAATTCTGCTGGCAAATTAGAAATCAAATTGTATTATCAATACAAATAATTGTACAAAATATGCTTTGTATTGTCAGGTCTACTGGCAAGAGATATCTTTTAAACAAAATTTTGAGAACTGCAAGAGTAAAGTAGCCCAAATTTCACATGAGATATGCAATAAAGCGTATATCTTGTGCAGAACTGCAGACAAGTGGCACTTATGATGAATTGGAACTAAAAATAAGCATATTAACTCTAGAGGATCCAAAATTATCCTTCTGTAATTGAAAGGCAATCAGTCTTGGTGAAAGTTAGTTGTAAATTACATTTGACGAAATAATAATACTCCTGGATGCTCAAGCTGTGTGATTTGCTCATTTGTTTAGCTTATATTATCATGGTTGAGGAGCATTCATGTACATATTTATTCCCTTAGTGGCATATATGCATTATATATCAGAGGCGTCAACACCCACACAGTATGCAATGCACCAACATCACAAATGCAATCAATCGTATAAATACAGAGGAAGCAGCAGCAGTCAGGAGATTACTTCACATGTAAAGACACTAAATGTTTCAGGCATTCTTTCCAAAAAAAAAATGTTTCAAGCAGTTTTTACATTCTATATACAGAGGAGATGTACCTACACTGGAAAAAAAATGAAGATTGGCAGGATGAAGGGATCCGGCGAGTCAGCATCTTCCTCGGCGAATCAACTCACTGCTCACCGTTGCAAGCGAAGCAACAACTCCACATGAGATTGGAGAAAAAGGAAAATAACAAGCAGGGTCTAGATGGCTTTGCTGACCTGAGATATATGGAGGGACATCGGAAGCAGTTGAAGAACAGGCGGTGGGTCGACCCTCGCCGTAGAGCCACATCGCCGTCGGCCTCCTCGAGGCGACGAGCCCCAATCCACCCCCCCCCCCCTCCCCCTCCACCACCACCACTTAAGAAGGTCGGTGGCAGGATCCGACGGCGAGATCTGCACGGGGACATGGAAGACGACGATGAATAACAGGGAGAACGAGGAGAAGGCGGACGAGGCGGCTCACCTCCGTCGGCGACGGTATCCAGTGGCGAGATCCGGTGGTGAGGAAGTGACCCGGTGGTGAGGGGGCGGAGGCGACGGAGGTGTGGGGGACAGGGAGGGCGACGCCGTCGAGCTGCTGTCGCCGCCGCGCCGCCCGGAGCTCGCCGGCCGCTCCGTGGTCGTCCCGTACCACCAGATCCGCGTCGCCGGCCTGGGGAGGAGAGCCGCCGGTCGTCGGAGCAGAGGAGGGGTGGTACCCGTCGTGGGAGAGTGACGGAGATGAGGGTGGTGGTGGGGTTGCCGCTCGGGCTGCCCGCCGGCGCCGCCTCCATCCGCCCCGCCGCCCAGCGCCGTCGCCACCCGGGCCCTCCCTTTCTCCAGCCACGGATTTCGCCGCCTCCGCTCGACCCGCCGCCCAGCGCTGGCGCCACCTCCGTCCGCCCCGCCGCCCAGCACCGTCGCTGCCCGGGCCGAGCCTCTCTCGGCCGCGCGCGTCGACGGAGGAGGAGGCGGCGGCCGCGCGCGCGTCGACGGAGGAGGCAGCGGCGCGCCGCACGCCTGGTGGCTGGGCACGGGCAAGCTGGAATGGCTGGATCAGAGGATGGGATTGGGAGTTTGACCTTGACTTAGGGTTAAGTTTTATATATACCCGTTAATTGGGCTTCATTATTATGGGCTATAACGTATAAAAAGTCTAGATTAGTCCTCTGTACACGAATGGTCAACGACATCAAAAATAACTACCGGTATTTCGATATCTACAACTATTCTATTGGTTCTTTTTACAAAAAAAGTTCATTTGAACAATTCAATTTTTCAATTTTCAAATTTGGATAACTTCGAATGAAAATTGGGGTTAACAAATGATTTCAAATGGAAAAGTCATCAAAATCAAAGTTGTACAACTCATCGAGATGCAAATTTTTTATTTTGGTCATTTCTCCATCTGACTCTATTTGAACATATTGAAATTTAAAATTCAAAGCTTGAGAACTTCCAATGGAAATTTTTACTAGTGAACGATTTCAACTGAAAATATCATCAACATCAAAGTTATATAACTCATCAAGATCTACAACTTTTATTTGGGTCATTTTTTCATCCGATAAAGCGATTTGTAACATTGTTCATAAAATATACAAATCTCTTATATAGTATATAAACTATAAGAGAGAGATGTATATAGTATATAAACTATAAGAGAGAGAGATGTAAATTTTATAAACAATATTACTATCACTTTACTGGATGAAGAAATGACCAAAATAAAAGTTATAGATATTGATGAATTATACAACTTTGATGTTGATTACTTTTTCAGTTGAAATCATTTAGTATTTAAAAATGTTGTTTGAAGTTGTTATAATTTGAAATTCAAATTCAAATTATTGAAACAGATCAATATGGCAAAATGACCAAAACAAAAGTTGTAGATGTTGATGAGTTATACAACTTTGTTGTTGATGACCTTTTCAGTTGAAATCATTTAGTATTTAAAAATGTTATTTGAATTTGTCATAATTCAAAATTCAAATTTTATATAGGTCAATCAAACCCAGATGGAGAAATAACCAAAATAAGATAGGTAGATCTCAATAAGTTATACAACTTTGTTTTTGACAACTTTTTTCACATAAGTTCATTTAGTATGATAAAATTCGGAGGGAGGCAAAATGGACTTCTCGGTGAGGGAGGAGCAAAAGGCCTGTTATGGGCCAGCCTTTTTGCTCATCCCACACCGATAAGTCCATTCTGCGTCCCTCCTTTCAATTAATTTCAAAATATTAAACATTCGAATCGAATTTTATCTTACTAAATGAACTTATATGAAAAATTTGTCAAAAACAAAGTTGTATAACTTTATGGGATCTACCAATTTTTTTTGGTTATTTCTCCATCTGAGTTTAATTGACATATATAAAATTTGAATTTCAAATTATAACAAGTTCAAACTACATTTTCAAATACTAAATGATTTCAACTAAAAAAGTCATCAACAACAAAGTTATATAAATCATCAATATTTATAACTTTTATTTTGGTCATTTTGCTATATGACTCTGTTTCAATAATTTGAATTTGAATTTCAAATTATAACAAGTTCAAAGAACAGTTTTAAATACTAAATGATTTCAACTGAAAAAGTCATCAACAAAAAAGTTGTATAAATCATCAATATCTACAACTTTTGTTTTTGGTCATTTTGGTATACGACTCTGTTTCAATAATTTGAATTTGAATTTCAAATTATGACAACTGCTAACAACATTTTCAAATACTACAACTGAAAAAGCCATCATCAGCAAAGTTGTATAACTCATCAAGATCTATAACTTTTATTTGGGTCATTTCTTCATCCGACAAAGCGATTTGTAACATTGTTCATAAAATGTACAAATCTCTTATATAGTTTATAAACTATAAGAGAGATATGTAAATTTTGTAAACAATGTTACTATCACTTTACTGGATGAAGAAATGACCAAAATAAAAGATATAGATATTGATGAGTTATACAACTTTGATGTAATTACTTTTTCAGTTGAAATCATTTAGTATTTAAAAATATTGTTTGAAGTTGTCATAATTTGAAATTCAAATTCAAATTATTGAAACAGATCAATATGGCAAAATGACCAAAACAAAAGTTGTAGATGTTGATGAGTTATACAACTTTGTTGTTGATGACATTTTCAGTTGAAATCATTAGTATTTAAAAATGTTATTTGAAGTTATCATAATTCGAAATTCAAATTTTATATAGGACAATCAAACTCAGATGGAGAAATAACCAAAATAAGATAGGTGGATCTCAATAAGTTATACAACTTTGTTTTTGACAACTTTTTTCACATAAGTTCATTTAGTATGATAAAATTCGATTCGAAGTTTTAATATTTTCAAATTAATTGAAAGGAGGGAGGCAAAGTGGACTTATCGGAGAGGTAATTCGTCCGGTATAAGAAGTTTAGGGTGAGTGATACCTGGTTTTCGGGTTCAGGGGGTAATTCGGACGACCGCGATAGTTCAGGGGGGTAATTCGTACTTTTTTTTCCTTTTAGATTAAGTGTAAGCGTTTTCATTCCACTGATCACAGGCTATCTTTCCATGATATTTTCAGGGCTATGGATGCCCTGGACTTTCTGGCCCAGCTTGCGCCATGTGTTTTCTAGAGATCGCTCGTGTGGATGCAAGCATAGCCTCATTCTGCCTTGTTCAGTCATGCCTCGCAATGGTTAGCATTGGTATGTACATCATTTGGAAGTCATGTGAACATGGACTAATCGAGCAGATATCACACACAGCATTGGTATCTAGTTTACAGTGTTGTTATATATATATATATATATATATATATATATATATATATATATATATATATATATATATTGGGGGGGGGGTGGAAACTAGAATATTCTCTGTGTTATATTATGAGAAAACATGACCAAAATAGCTAGGTTCATCACAAATGAAGCTCCAAATAAAAACCAGAGTGGAATATATGGAATGGTACAACTAGGGATAACAAGAGATCTAATTAATGTTTTCATTATAATCATTATTTTGATATGTTTTAATTTACTCTGTATATATAATACAATTAGAGCTAAGTCGTAGGACAAATACAACATTTAGGTGGTACTATTGTGACTTAACTGTACAATTCTCTACATATTGCGAGGTAGCTAGAGTGATAATGCTAACATATATATGAATTCATCGATATATGTGCCTTTAATTTACATGTGGTGAAACAGCACAACTCGGGTCAGAAGCCCAGAAGGAGAAGTATTTGCGACCATTGAGCAAAATGCAGAAAGTTTGCGTATATGTAAGGAAAAAAACCCTAGCTCTTGGCTATTGATAAAGTTTGGTATATCATATTTTTCAATTAATATTGTGTGTTAATTCCAGGCCTTGTCAGAGCCGAACCATGGTAGTGACGCGAGCTCTCTTAACACCACAGCTAGAAAGGTACTCCTATATCTGTTATCTTGATTTGTACAACCTGCACTATTCATGGTATATTGAAAGTTCGAAACTTTATTATTGTTAACGGTTAAGAACAACTATACGTATGTGTAGTGTTTCTGAAGCCGCAGATATGTGCAAAAACATATATTGCCGGTCGTAGTATAGATGAAGTCGTATGAATCAAAGAGATCTTCATATAATTAACAGAGATATATAGTCCCCAAATACATATAGTGTTTCAAATATTAAGTATTACTAGTCGCTAACCCATGTCTTGTGTGGGTTATTTTTATTAACTTTGTAACAAATAAAATTTAATAATACTTCAATTATGCTGGTTATTTTTAAGTAATTCAAATGGCTCGTAGGAAAGATATGAAGAGTTCCCCTCAATTACAACGTGCCGGTTATTAATTTCGAATTTCATAGTTATGTTAATAATATACTAAATTTATTTCATTTTTTCAAAATAAAGCTAAATAGTTTATGATGTTTTCAGTGGCATGTTTTAATTAAACAGGCAGGAACTCCGAATTACGATCAATAGTCATATATTAATAAGTATTAAAATTTCAATTATTTGTTTAATACGTTGGTTATTTTTTCAATTAATAGTATCAAATGATTTGGAAAAATTACATACATTCAGTCTTTGAAAAGTCTGTGCAACATGCTGAATATAAGCTCCTCCCCCAAGTTCAATATGTGTCGCTTGCAACTTGCCTGCGTTGGCACAAGACTAGATCAATAATTTTGCTATGACTTGCACTCAGATTGAGGGACTATATATCTAGAATTCAATCGCCTGAAATCATTGGAAGGTTTAGTCACCTGTTGTATTCGTTGGATATGCAATCAACGGTGGTATGTAGGTCACGTTTTCTTGTTAAAAAGAATTACTCGGCAGTTGTGAACATGCAAATTATCGGCCAGCTAGCGGATCCAAAAGGTTCTTTTGTTTGTTATTCACATTCATTGGCTTTCCGAACTACGCAAGTCTCTCACGTGGGTTGATGAAAAAACATCCCTACAAGCTAATAGACATAATATTTTCTCAACCAAAAAAGGTAAACAACCAATGTAATGCACGCTTCAATAAATATTAAATATACTCTGTAATTTGAATGTAACATAATATTTATTTATCTTGGGATAAAAAAAATCTTTTTACCTACACCCTCCTAAATCATTGCAGTTGGTTTATTACAAAATTGCACAGACTAATAAACTGCAACATATAAATATCGATTGGAATTTGACAAAAGTAATAGGATCCGAACAAAAATTTACATCGATTTTTCTTAAAAGCTAACCAGAGGGATAGTTTAAGGATGATTCAATTCGTTTCAACATGACTACCAATCAGTTGAAGAAATAATATCAGAACATGACATTTCTATAACAAAATTAGAGAAAAATAAGTCCATTCTATAGATCAAACTTAAAATGGTTTCTTCCATTTTACTTAAAATTGTTTCTTCCATTTACTTAGCTCTATTAAGTAAAGGGAAAATTTACTAAGTCCATGGTTTCTTGATCTATAGATTACAATAATGATAATACTACCCATCTAAACAACGGCTAGATCTAATTAACGTGAGATATACTCTCTCTCTTTCTATTTGTATATGCTGTCTTATATAAATGGAAGAATGGAGTATCTAATTAGTATGGGTACTGGTACTGATTACCTGTTTCTCTTCAGACTACATATTTCAGTGATTGAGTTCCTTGCTCTATTGTAATTAATTTGGAGTAGGTTCCTGGAGGGTGGATACTCAATGGCCAGAAGCGATGGCCAGCAAACAGCAGTTTTGCAGATATCTTCGTCGTTCTTGCCTGCAATACCAGCACCAATCAGATTAACGGGTAATCAAAAGCCATATATCTACACACTACATTAGCTGGTCGTCATACTATGGAAAAATATGTCGATACTGTAAAATGGTTTACAATACATTTGGATTATTGGTTTTACATTCATTTGCGTGGAACGTACTGCAGATTCATTGTGAATGGAGGCGCCCCCGGGCTTAAGATCAGCAAGATCGACAACAAGATGTCGCTGAGGGTCGTCCAGAACTGCGACATCCTGCTGGAGGACGTCTTCGTCCCTGATGATGACCGTCTTCCTGGCGCCAACTCTTTCCAAGACCTAGTGAAGGTAAAAACTACAAACATACCTAGCTCCGACTCAAAATATAAGGATTTTAGAGTCTTTTTTTGCGGATTATTGGAATAGTTAAAATTAATTAGGTACAGTTATGTTCGACGAGTTGTAGAAGTAGGTGGAAAAATAAGCTATATTTTAGCTAGGACAAAATCCAAATGCAAGAAATGACTATGTGGACAAAATTTGTACACTAAAGTATATATATTTTGGGGTGAATGGTGTACTCGATCACTTTTGCTTCAGATATATAGTATATCTCCACACACCATTGGTGATACAGATTTGACAGACTATGTTGCATACATTCAGGCCCTCTCTTTCTCTCGCGTCATCGTCGCCTGGATCAGTATCGGCATTGCGGCAGGGGTGTACGACGCATGCCTTCGGTAAATACAATGTTACCTAAGCTACCACAGCTTGCAGCTTCATTTGATGCGAGATCGACCCTCTGACCTACACACATTCGCACCGCTCATGTATATGTAGGTATCTGGGAGAGAGGAAGCAGTTTGGGGCGCCATTGGCGGCGTTCCAGCTAAACCAGGAGAAGCTCATGTGGCTCCTCGGCTGGCGTCTCTACGAGCTGCATGACTCCGGCAGGATGACCACCGGCCAGGCCAGCTTAGGGAAGGTACGTAGTACTAGTACGTTTGAACACTTGCTCGATCTTCTGTTCGCCAACCGTATCACGGCTGATTATTTGAGATAAACCGAAGCGATAGCATTGTGGCCTGACTCAATTGTTGTTATAGGCATGGATCACAAAGAAGGCGCGGGAGACTGTGGCCTTGGGCAGGGAGTTGCTCGGTGGCAACGGCATCGTCACCGACTTCCACGTTGGCAAGGTCCTGAATTAACGGTTTTGCTATATTTGTGTCGCCACAAAATCTCATCGATTACAGTCGATTTTTCAGCCCTCTAATTTGCTTTAGATTAGCGCTGGATATTATGATTTGCGTATGCGTTGTTTGAGATCTGCGCCCGACTACCTGCAATCTATCATTAATGTATTACTGATCCAGAGCAAACACAAAGTAACGTGTTTAACTGATCGATGTATTACTGCCCAAGGTCCTATCATTAACGTGTTCAACTGAGCAAACAGGCAACTTTATTGCTGTAATTATATATTTATACAAATTTACACAGCAGTTACACCCCACTTACATATGTAATTTTGAACTTACATATGTAATTTTGAGACTTACATTGTAAATACACTAAAATTACATATGTAATTTAGTGACTTACAATGTAAATACATGCTGACTATATTTTGGTGAAAAATATGACGTCATAAATATAGTTACTCCCTGAATTAATTACCCTCTCAGTCAATGATTTGTTAATTTACCTCGTTCTAGTGTTCATATTGCAATGCATAGGATGTTCTTTTATGGAAATAGTACTACTACAGAAATAATAACCATGCCTTCAATTATTTGGAGCATATTATCTCATAAGTAGATACATATAAGTTCAGCCGATGTCAAATTTTTGTGTGTATTTGTCTTCTCTATTTGCACAATATATATGAACCTGCTGAATATAAAACTTACAGGTTGTTTAAATGTATTTCAACATTTTAGTTCGCTTCATTTTTTTACGTTCTGCATTAACATGCCACGTCAAACTAATGAAGATATAAGTCTTTAGATTTAATTTATAGTAGTAAGGATGACAGGAAGCACACTATTCTTTTAGTAAAATACACTTCTTGTAATTATACATATCAGGTTGTGTCATCTAACAATACAGAATTAGGTTTGGGAACATGTTAAATTATTTCATCTTGCTAACTTCAAAACAACGTACATGCCCCTTCAAGTGCGTGCGTTGCTGACATTTCACCTAGAGGGTTAAGTGGTAGTTTCACGTCGTACAACATCAGAATACTTGATCCTAAAATATAAGGGACTCAAAATTCCTTATATTTTAGATAGACGCTGAATTTGGGTAATTAGATCAGTATTTTTAAAGTTTAGAAACTAGATAATATAGCTAACAAGTTTAGTGACCACCGACGTATTTTATCCAAAATTCTTTTTTATTATGATAAATTCATATATGTACGTACGTACTTCGATTCATGCAGGCGTTCTGCGACATGGAGTCCTTATACACGTACGAGGGCAGCTATGAAGTCAATGCACTCATCGTTGCTAGAGACATCACTGGCATCGCCAGCATCAGGCCGGCTAGCCGGCTCTAGTTCCTGTGCACACCAAGCAAATGAATAAAACCTAACTAGTGTATATCACAAAACGTCAAATTAACTGCAGTTTGTAAGGTCATTGGTTTCACCATCTTTTTCGAACGTTCGTTTTGTAGTATATGAAGAAGTTCCTTGCCTGTTCTCGCAATATATGCACTCGTTGGTATATATACACAGTACCGCTACTTCAGTTATCACTTGTGAGCTTTCTGGACATAATTTGTATGTCGTGGTATTGTGACATACACATATATTGTGACATACACATAATTCATATAACAGGTTGTACATGTATATGACAGCTCTACTCTACACCTACCCCTTAGAATAACTATTCTACACCCCCCTATCCCTCAACTCCCTCAGTCCGGCCCAGCCCACCCCCTCTCCCTCCCCCATGCGCGCGCCTCCCTCCCCGATCTCTCCCTCCACTCCTCCTGATCTGTTCTTTTTTTCTCTCCATCGATTTTTGTCTCGATCTCTCCCTCCCCTTCTCCCGATCTCTTTTTCCTTTTTTTTTCTCTCCATCTATTTTTTCCTCCCTTCACTTATTTTTCCTCCCATTATTTTCTTTTTTAAAAAAAGAAAATAAATTGATAAATTCAAGACTAGAACCCATGGTTACAAGTTAACACAAGTACTAAAAGTACTTCTCTTTGTCGATACAAAGATACATACATAGTAGCAAGCTTAGTACAAGTAAACTTTTAGAGTTCTAATATTTAAACAATAATATCTCTCACATCGCATATTATTTTTTAGAACCGTTTTCACCATAATGCTTTAAAACGACGTTACAACGAGACAATAGTCATGTTACTACACGATGATCCATCATAACTATTTTATAACGTTGTTACTGCGGAAAGTAGTCGTGTTACTGCACATCGACCATTGTGTTACTACGCCGTTCCAGCGAGACGAGAACTTAAAAAAAAAGTAAATCTCATTCTTTAGAGAGCAATATCTCTCAAGTTATATAGTATTTTTTCTAATCCGTCTGCACCATGATGTTCGTAAAAAAATGCTTAACAAAACTAGATCCATCATGACTATTTTTCGATGTTGTTACTGCGAGAAAAGTTGTCCTGTTACTGCACGATGACCGTTATGTTACTGTGAAATTCCTGCGAGACGTGAAAAAAAAAATGGTGGGCAAGAGAGGAAGTCAATGGGCGGGTTTGACTCAGGTTTGACTGGCGGGAGAGAGTTTTGATCAGCCTTTAACTGAGGTAGGAGGGGGAGATATATAGGGTCACGCTGCGTGATGCCACACACAAGCGGTGCACGCCAGTTAAACCGTGGCGCGACTCACAGCGCTTCCTATCCCGGTTTTTCCGATTTTCTTAACCACCACCGAGTTTTCCGTTTTTCTCCCGTCATCCATCATCTGCTCCGTGTTTCCCACCCATCCTATCGGGAGTAAAAAAGTTACCGACTAAAGTAATCAGTAAAAAAATTACTGAGAAAAGAAATCATTACCTTTTGTATGCCGAGTAAAAAAATCACTCACGTCTCCGCCCTAATTTTCTTGCCCACCTCATATGCTCGCCCTACGGAGCACGCAGTAAAAAAATTACTGGCCTGATCTGTGTTTAATTCTAATTTGATTGCTCGGTTAAAAAATTACTATGCGTCTTTACCCATCAAAAAATACTGTATAATCTACGGTGCATTCTAATTTGAGTGCCAGTAAAAAAATTACTCTACCCTCTACTCGTGATGAGGTTTATATTAGTGAAATTTTTACTTTGACTTATGAATAAAAGAGAGTAAAAAAAATACTCTACCCTTTACTCGTGATGAGGTTTATATTAGTGATATTTTTTACTGTAACTTAAAAATAAAAGAGAGTGTTGGTAATTTATTTACGCCTTTTGTCAGGAAAGGTAATATCAGTAAACTTTCTCCAAGATATACATCGATAGATGAAAAATTAAAAAAATGATTATTACACTGAAATGCACATTAAATCACAACGAAGCTGCACAGAAGTGATAATTTTACAGACACATCACCACAACAATTCAAGAATAAAAAAAATTAACACACATTCCAGCATTCAGTAAGCAGCGACTGTGGCAGCAGAGAAATGGGGATGTGGCGACCGGCAGTGTTCGGTGAGCGACGGTGTCCATATGGTCCTGGAGAAAAAATGATTCCGTTTTTAGGCATGGATTTTGATAATGGGTGGTAGTCAGATGTCCTTTAGAAAAGTATTACTCTGATAGTATCAGAATCACCATCAGCTATTCCGTTCAGATAACAGCCCTGAAAAATTGAAGAACAATTCACAATCTATCACATAGATAACACCAGAAATTTACTAATGAAAATGAGGAATGAAACACAATGTACTATTAAGTGTCGTGCAAAAAAGGATGCTTACCGTGATATTACCACCAATTGACACTCTTCACAAGTGCCATAGCAGCTATAAATTTATCTGGAATATGTATAGTCAGAGAGCAAAGGAGACTAAGGAATACCTTGATGTTTAAGCAACAACAATACGTTCAGCGCAAAGGAACATCTAGGCACAATTGTTAGAGAATATGCCCTGACTTCGATTTAATTAAAGTACTAACAAAACCACACAAATGAGATGACAAAAAACAGCTCTACAGATTCAGTGAAGGATGTGGCTAACTGATTCAGTGAAGGATTAAGATCATATGGCTAACTGATTCAGTGAAGGATCAAAGAAAATTCATTTGTGCTGCTCTACAAGAACTAGGGTATTTCAGAAAAATACTAACCGATCAACAATGCTCTATTGAACTAGACAATTTCAGTGCTCATGTGGCAGTACTAAAAAAAACAGAAGTTCAGCATTTCAGGCATCATTCGAGCTCCTCTGTTGAAGCAGAAAATTTCAGAAAACTACTAGCCTAACAACAGTTTTTTCCTAAAAATCTACAGATAAAATCATTGAGGACACATGTATAAGAGGAATCCATTCAAACATATTTGTTCATTGAGAACACAAAAGGCCAAGAAATGCAACAAATGCATCAGATGTGAACAGCTAGTCCATCAAATAAGTTCTGATATTACTAGCACTATCAATGAATCAGAGCCCGAAAATTCATCATGGACATATCTGCGTTTACTGCCGCAGAAGTATGTACTGCTCATGCATCTGTACTGCTCAGAAAACAAAATGTATTTTAGATAGGCTGGCATCAAAATCACGAGAACAATTCCACTTAAATTGCTCTGTTGATCCCAAAGTTTCAGAACAAGAGCTAAATCTCAAGTAGAAAAAGCTCCTGGGAGAACTCAATGATGAAGAAAATACAAATGCAAAAGCAAAATTACTGTACTTCTCGAGAAAATATTCATGCATCTCAAAACTAAGGAACTCCAGTCCTCACTTGCATCTCTAGATATGCACCCCTCAAGAACACATTATTATGAATAAAAAATCCTATTGGTTTCTAGATATCCCAATGTGGAAGGTGAAAAATGTGTTTCAATTTCAGATACAAGAAGCTAATGATGTAGTAGTAGCAGTAGTAGATGATGGGAGCAATGACAAATTGACAATATTTACCACAAGAATTTGACTGAGTGGTATCTTAAAATATGAAACCAGCTGTCAAACCTGCAAATTGAAGTTCAGGGATGTTAAGTAAAGACCGAATGAATAGCAAGTACAGTGATATAAAACTGATTAGAGCTTCTGTACTTACGGACTCGCCGCTTGCATAGTTGAATTCATTAAAGTTTTTGTGTCTTGGCAAGCATTACTGGTACATCAGCAATAATACATGTTTATAAGATAAGAAAGGCAGTACATTTTCAGAAACTATAAAATCCGAGTCTCTATTAAGGTCTGGCGTTCATGAAAATTTTAATTGATAGATGGGGATGAGCTGCAGATCCTTGGAGCACGAAATTGAAAATCAAAACAAAAACGGAGCTCCTCCACTTCGGCATCGACACTGTAAATTGAGATTGGGACGAACTAGAGTTCCTGGGCACAAATCAAAAAGGGAAAAGAAATGAATAGGGAGGAGGAAGAAAGGATAATCAGATTGTGGAATACCTAGTCCCCGAGGTCCATCTGGGTGGGCTTGCCCCCGGCGGCCGAGTCGGAGTCGACGTCCATCGGCGGCGGTGTGGGGAGAAGGCGGCAGCCACACGGCGAGCTGGTGGAGGACAACCACGATGACGGCAGCAGGCAGAAAGAAGTGAGCGGCTGCGCCGCCCACCACCGGACTCCACCCGGTGCACGACCGTCGTCCGCCAGCCATCGCCGAGACTGCCCCTGGGCTCTCCTCCCGCAGCCCCTAGTGGATCTGTGCGGGGCCGGGCGAGGGACGGCCGCCGCCGCCGGATCCGGGTAGTGGATGGCCCCGCCGAGCCCGACGCACGCCGCTAAAACAGGCAGTCACTGTCGCCCGCCATCGGAGGAAGCTGGAGGGACCCCGCCGCCTGCGCCCGACGCGCTGAGGAAGACCAAGCCGGCGGCCGCGCGCCGCCGACCTGCGATCGCCGCTCGACCGCCCGTCGCTTACCTGCGATCCGGAAAAAAAGGGGTATAACTGTGAGAAAAATTGTGCACAAAGAAACAAATTTTAAAATTTAAGGTATGTGAAGCTAAAAAATAACTCAGTAATGTGGAGAGGGAGAGTAAATAGTGGGGGGACGGTTTATACGATGGGAATCCCTAATATACATACCAGATAAAAGTTAGTATGTCGAGTTAAAAAATAACTCAATGTGCAAACACCGTTGGATCACAAGATACACAATGGCTATCTCGCAACCAATTAAAAAATAACTGGCTTCGTATTTAACAATTCATTGTATTGTTGAGTTAATAAATAACTCAATGTGCAAACACCAGTGAATCACAAGGCACACAAATGGATAACATCAAGTAAAAATTTACTCGGATTATGGGAGTGGGGGAGTGGGTGTAAGGGCGGGATCGAGATTGGTCGTCGGTGAGTTAAATTTTAACTGCATGATGTATCAGGTGCTGTTTAATACGTAGCACCTTAGGGTGCTGCATAGTAGTTCTTTTATATATATATATATGCACACACACATACATACATACATACTATACCGCACCTAGGGTGCGTACTAACTAAAATGCTCCCCCTCACAACCTAGGGAAAATATGTAGTGCAAATCACATATGTAGTGGAAACTTGAAAACTACCGTTAGATCGAGAAATGGACGTCCGAGATTCGTTCACGTCATCATGAGTTAAAATTTAACTCGCAGATTCACTCATGAGTTGAAATTTTACTGGGAGTTAAATTTTAACTCATTGTGACGTGGACGAATCTCGGACGTCCATTTCTCGATCCAACGTTAGTTTCCAAGTTTCCAATACATATGTGGTTTGCACTACATATTTTCCCCACAACCTAACCCCCCCCCCCCCCCCCCCTCACACCACCCTTCCCCCCTCCTCCCCCCACCAGGCGGCCCCACCTCTACAGCCCCCCTTCCGCACCCCCATAGTGGGATTATTCTTTTACTGGCTCCTATATATACAATCTTTGCAACTGTAACATCCATCGTCCCTTTTTCCACAAGCGCTCTTTTTTTTCCGGATTGGTGAACGGTGGGTTGTCCGGACTGGTCGCCGACGATGGAGGCGTGGTGGCGCATCGTCCGTCCGTGAGTTGGCGCCGCCTCCCGGGATCCGCCCTGACGACCTACCGCCAAATCCAAGCCCTCGACCACGAAGGAACCGTTCCAGGAGGTCGGCAGCCTCGCTGCTCCTTCCTCCCCGCTCCCCCTCTGTTCATTCCTCCACGAGGGAAACCGAGAAACCGACCGCTGGCCTTCCTCCGTGACAGCTGAGATCACGTGGTGGTGGCGGAGAAAAGCCGATGAAGCGGAGACCACACAGAGGAGTTGGAAGAGGATAACTCCCTGTGGAAGCGTTCTAGGAGGCCGACGGCGCGAGTTCCTGCGTGCTGAGCGGTGGGAGACTGGCATGTCCTGGGCGCGACGCACGCGGTCGGCGGAGTTGTCGCCAGCGGCATTCAGCGACGACGTCGCCGGCGACGCGCGGTCCCTTCTCCGGCGGTACAAGGAAAGAGGGCTAGTCGATGCGGGACTACGGCGGTGCCACGGACGACTCCGCCGCTGCCGGAGCGTTCCTTGCGTGGAAGGAGCAGCCTGTCGTGTGGACGAGCGCGTGGAAGCCATGAGATCGATCGATCCAATAAGTCCAAATCCGCCAATGCTGCGAATGATCGAGCCTGCGATTCATTTGATTCATTTGTTTAATTTGATTCTCATTTGATTCATTTGTTTTTTTAGAACTAGTTGATTCATTTGTATATCTGAGTATTCCATTGACTTGTATAGAAGCTAGCGATAGATTATTTGCTTTACCGGTTAACACTGAGTCTCACGTTCTTGATGCATGGTTCGATATATATATAAGCTTGCTTGCATGTCGTTGGTTTGGACTGATGCATGCAACTCATTACTCATAGCAGATAGGAAAAACTACCAATTACCCCCCTGAACTTTCGCGGTCATCCAAATTACTCCCCGAACCACAAAACCGGACATTCTTCACCCCCAACTATGCAAACCGGACGAATTACTCCCCTCGACCTAATCCGCAGTGGTTTTGGTCTACGTGGCATACATGTGGCAGTCCAGTCAGCATTTTATTTTTTTTAAATGGTGGGACCCACATGTCATACCCCTCTTTCTCTCTCCCTAATCTCTCTCTTTCTCTCTCTCGTGGGCGGAGGCATGCGCGGTGGCGCGCGGCGTGAGACGAGGAGGGGGAACCGGACGACAGCGTGAGGCCGCGGCGGCGGTGGTCCAGGCGGACCTCGCCCACGGCGGCGGCCGGCGCTACGACGGCGAGCGACGCCGTCCACCTCTCTGCCATGGCCGCCGCCATGCGCGCCGCACTTCCCCTCCCCCATCCCCTCTACCTCCCCTCGCCGACGCTTCTGGCCGGCGATGGCATGTACTTGATCAGCACGCCGGCGGCGGCTCTAGCGCGGTAGTGCTCTTCGACGGCGCGCAGCATTTCCTCCACCGGCGGCAGCGTCCTCCTCCCGGACAACACCTGCGCGACCCACTTCCCTCGAAGAACCATGGCGCCGGCACCTTCCTCGGGACGCCGACGAACGACAGCGACGAGGCCAACGCCGGCGGGAACACGTGCTCGAACAGCGGCCCGACACGGTTGTCGTCGATGGTGACCATCCTATCCGTGTCCAGGAACGGGAACGAGTAGACGTACCCGGTGCAGTACATGGCGGCGAGGGCGACGACGCGCGAGCCGTCGATGAACACCAGCGTCCCGCCCTCACACAGGTGTTTGACCTATGGCCTCAGGTGGATGTTGGCATACTTGGCATCGTGGCCTCCTCCGTCGACTTGGTCGCACTACACCATGCCCCAAGTTTCCTTACTACATATCTTCAGCAAAAACCCTATCTAGTGGCAAACTATGTGTCAGTAATTTGTTTCCCGACAGAGATGGTCTGTCAGGACAAGTGCTGCCGGCAAAGGTCTTTCCCGACAGATAATCCGTGCTGACAGATAGTTTGGCAATGTTTTTTTGCTCTTTGCCGACAGATATTTTTTCCTGACAGACGGACCTTTTCCGACATATGGATCTTTGCTGACAAATAGTGTGACGTGACTCATACTTTTCCCGGCAGATAATATGACACCAAGAATATATCAGGCCAAAAAAAAATAAAAATAAATGGAGCTCATCACAACAAGCAACACATGACAAATTAAGTGTACTTTTCACTAATTTCACTAATAGATTAGTGAATCCAACATACAAGTAAAAAAATCACATAGCTCAGCTAGGAATTGTGGGAATAGTGCATACATACAAATTTGAAATGACACCAAAGATGGAACATATAATGGTCTATAAGAAAAGGGGATGCTAAAATAACTACATTATCTGGACTTGGCCAGATTTATATATTGTATACATCTTGTTGCTGGCAAATATCCTGAAAAGCATCGAATTGGAAGGTACAGGCTCACTTCATCCATATCAAAAGTTCACATGTATATTTTGATATATTGATGCACCTGTAATGTAAAAGTGTATTGCTTAGATATAAGGTATAACCAAGATAAGAAATGCATTGACAACTGAGCATCAAAAGCTTCTATGTTATGGGGAGATTTCACTTATAGAATTAAAGCTGCAGTTACAAGGCAAAAGAGTTTGACGATTGATAATCAACCGAAATGTCAAATCAGAACCCACTATTACGACTGGTAATTAATAAATCAATGAATGATAGAGCAAAATATAACTGAAATTAGTTTACATGGGATCCATTTAATCAACTATATGACAAAATTTAAAATGATGTCTAGCAGTCGAAACAGAAACAAATCATCTAGCTGTACTGAATCCAACGTTTTGCTCCAACTAACAGCACTATTGGCATTATACTGTAAATAGCATTTTCATAATGTGAATTAGAAACTGGAGTCTCAGGGCTGTATATCATTTATAATGACTGCTTGTTGTAAGAATAGACAACCACCTAATTTCAACTGAAGGAAATTGCAAAGTTCAAGTACACACTTATATTCATCCTTCCGGCAAGCAGTTGTAGAGACCATTCATATATCAGAAGGCAGTTCAAGTAAACACTTAAATTCATTCATCTATGAACAACAAAATTAACATACATTTGGCGAACAAACAAGATTGACAAGTGAAGAACACCAACCATTGCCGAGAGCGCAGATATCCCATGTTATGCCCCTCACCTTCCTACTCTTGCTTATTTCGGTCCTCCTGTTCCCTGCACACTTACCAAATTAAAAGCATGCCACACCAATCCAGCTATCAGAATCTACATACACCACAAGGACACCAAAGTCCACCTGCAGAGTGGCAGTGACATTGTACTTGGGCCGCTTCCTGCAGACACAAAATAAAAACACTGAAATACTTGAGAAACTCTCAGACATATCATCAAACAGAAGGCTTGCCTAGCTGGGATGACTAACACATTATTCACCACACCAACCTCGCTTGATGTCATCCAGAGAAAGCTTGGCTGGCCTGTCTATCAGAGTGCCAATGGTCACATAGTAGCTGCAAATCCAACATCAGTTCATCGAATTAGAGCAGCTCACAAGCAACAAGACCAAACCACACCTCGCAAAGATGAGGATGGAAGTGAAGTACTTGCCTAGCACAAGGTTTACCCATCTGAAGTGCTCTTGCAATCTTAAGATAAGATTTAGGACCTTGGGCAGGAAACGATGCAAACAGCTTAATTGGAGCGTTTGATGCTGAATTGCAGGCACAAGAGCAAATTAATAGCCACAACTAAATGGAATCAGTCATCACGGAAGGCGTCAAACTAAACCAGCAAAGCTAGCATGCTTGGCGCGTCAAAAGCAGAGCTGTATAGAACAATCAATTAACCATGTCGTCTACTATCAACAAAAGTAACAAGGAAGAGGGGAGGAGGGGGGTTTGCTCTGCTACCTTCTCACCACTAAGGTGGTGGTGGTGGTGGTGGCGCCAATGAGGCCGAAGCCCGAAGATGAGGATCCCCCACGACTTGGACGGCCGCAGCTCCTGCTCCCCCGGTGCTCGCGCAGGCCTGCCCGCCGCCTTCGAGCTCGAAGCCCACTACATCGGAATGCCATGGCTGCAGACTGCGGCAGGAGGGGAGGGATCGAGCAAGTGCGGGAAGGGATGGCGCTCGCCGTGGGGTTTCCGGTTCGATGCCGCCACTTCGTGCTTCGAACTCCCTGTCGCCGCCCCGATCTGATTCACGCCGACGCCCAGATCTCCGGAGGGGGATTGGGCATGGCAGCGCGGGATGGAGAGAGCTTGGGGGCAGGGATTGTGGGGGAGCTAGGGCTTCCTCTTCGGTGCGCTCGGGGGCAGGGAGAGCGGGCGGCGTGCACTGTGGATGGGGAGCGAGGAGGTGGCGGCGCGATGGGAGACGATGAGGGGAGGGCTAGGGTTAGGCGGTGTTTTTTTTTTCATCCTCCGATGGATCTCGATGGCTGGGGGTGCTTTCCCCACTTAATTTGCCTCCATCTATTTTAGACGGTTGGATCTTGATCCAACGCACCAAGCATTGCTGACAAATAGCTGGTCACTAAGTTTTGTTGACACATATAATTGGTTAGTACTATTACTATTGCCGGCAGATATTTTGATAAAATATACATTTAGAATTACCGACATATAATATGTCTCACTATGCAGTTTTCCCGACATATAGTACGTCAAAATCTTTTACTAACAAATAGATTATCAGTAATTGTTTCTCTTTGCCGACAGATGTGTGTTAGTAATCCAGTGTCATGGTGTAGTGTCGTGAGGCGCACCTCCTTGGCGACGCCGATGAGGACCAACGCGATGTCCTTGCCGTTTTCGCCGCAGCCCACCATGACAACCACCTTCATGCAGATGTAGACATGGAGCACACAAGACAATACAAGATTACTATTACTGACATGGTTGGTGGCGGCAGAGCATGCATCCAAGGTGATTAGAAATGGAGAAATGTGTGGCCGTGAGCACCTCGTCGCGGAACGGCTCTGGCAGCCGGTACGAGTGGCTGTGCAGCTGCCGCCGCCTCCACACCTCCATTCCTTTGATGGTTGGCATGCTGGGCTGCGAGTAGTGCCCGGTGGTCGGGCCGCTGTTCAAGCACGTGTTCCCGCCGGCGTTGGCGCCGGCGCTGTCGTTCGTCGGCGTCCCGAGGAAGGTGCCGGTCAAGTACACGCCATCGTCGAGGGAAGTGGGTCGCACGCACAGGTGCTGTCCGGGAGGAGACGTTGCCGCCGGTGGTGGAGATGCTGCGCGTCGTCGACGAGCACTACCGCGCCAGAGCCGCTGCCGGCGTGCCGGTCAAGTACATGCCATCGCCGGCCGGAAGCGTCGGCGAGGGGAGGTAGAGGGAATGGGGGAGGGGGAGTGTGGCGCGCACGGCGGTGGCCATGGCAGAGAGGCGGACGGCGTCGCTCGCCGTCGTGGCGCCGGCCGCCATGGGCGAGGTCCACCTGGACCACCACCGCCGCGGCCTCACGCTGCTGTCTGGTTCCCCATCCTCGTCTCACGCCGCGCACTGCCGCGCATGCCTCCGCCCACGAGAGAGAGAAAGAGAGAGATTAGGAAGAGAGAAAGAGGGGTATGACATGTGGGTCCCACCATTTTAAAAAATAAAATGCTGACTGGAGTGTCACGTGTACGCCACATAGACGAAAACCACCGTGGATTGGGTCGAGGGGGGTAATTCGTTCGGTTTGCATAGTTGGGGGTGAAGAATATCCGGTTTTGTGGTTGAGGGGGGTAATTCGGACGACCGCGAAAGTTTAGGGGGGTAATTCGTACTTTTTCCTAGCAGATACGGCGGTCCTCCTCCAGACCTCCACCAGCTCCGTCCACATCGACGCCGCCACCTCCTCCACCCGAATCTAGCGGCGGCTCATCAGCGGTGGTCGTCCACCACCGGCTCTTGTCCACATCAGTGCCGCCACCTCCTCCGTCCATGCAACGCCGGCGCCATAGCCTCCCCTATGCCCGTCGCTGTCCACCCCTTTTGGGTTGGTTGCCGGCGTTGGAGGTGCGGTGGCGCGCCGTCCGGAGCTTGCGGTAGCAGCCATCGCCGGCAAACACCACTTGTTGTTGTTATGTATATATTTGTGTCCTCCATGCAATTCTGAGCTTGTTTGCATTATGAATCAACTGAGAGTAAATGATTTATCGAGAGAAGGATGTGGGTACAAAAAATCAGGAATGAGATAAGAGCTATGAAATACCTAAGAGTAATACATTTACTGAAAGAAGAAATCAACAAAGAGTAATACATCTATTGAAAGAAGAAATCAACTGAGAGTAAATCAGTAGAGTAATAAATTTACTGAATGGAGAAGTCAACTGAAAGTAAATCATTTACTAAGAAAAGGATGTGGGAAATCGACTGACTAACAGAAGGACGTGGGAAGAAAAATCTAGACAGAGAAAAGGTGCGAACTGGAGTGCCAGTGGGGGACAGTTGGGGATGGAGGAGAGAGAAAGGTGGTTTCCTGGTGGGAGTGATGGTGGGGGGTGGGAGGTAGGTTATGAGGGGAGCGTTTTAGTTATTACGTATCCTGGGTGGTTTCCTGGATGAGACCATCCGTGATTTTATATATATATATATATATATATATATATATAAAATCACGGATGGTCTCATCCAGGAAACCACCCAGGATACGTAGAGGGATGCGCTAAACCGCACCCAGGGTGCGTTATAACTAAACTACTCCCCTCACAGCAACCCCCTCCCCCCACCCCCACCCTCCCCCCACCCCACCCCCCACTCCCCGCACAAACTCCCCCATCTCTCCCTCTCCAAAAATTTCTTTTATTAAGTAAATCAATTACTATAAGTGGTTTTTCTTCAATAAGTAATCAAGTTATTATCAAAAGGTTCCCCACACCATCAATCTTGTTGAACTGGCCCGCACTTTTTTTTTCTTTCCTCCTTTTTTCGTGATTGTCCTATTAGTAATAAGATTACTGAGTCTGTCAACCTATGAGTAACTGAGTTACTAACACTCCCGCACTCCCAAATTTATTCATTCTCTCAGTAAATGGATTACTCCCAAGTTGTTTTCAACCCTTCTCAATTTGGTTCTTCCTGTCAGTAAATGAATTATTCTCGGTTCGTTCTTAAGCCCTTCTCTTAGCAAATAAATTACTTTGAATTATTCTCAGTTCGTTCTTAGCTCTTCTCTTAGCAAATAAATTACTTAGGATAGTAGTAATCCCAATTGGTTCGTATAACATCTCTTAGTAACTAAATTACTATTGCACCGATAGTTCTCAACATAACATATTGATCTTGCCACAAAATTTCTCTTAGTAACCAAGTTACTGTTACACTGATGGTTCTCAATATTTTGTCTCTTAGTAACTTAATTACACCAATGGTTCTCAACATAACATATTAATCTTGCTATCAAATTTCTTAGTAACAAAGTCAATATTACACCGATGGTTCTCAAACATACTATCTCTTAGTAACTAAATTACTATTACATCGATGGTTCTCAACATTCCGTCTGAAACAAACGCAAACACAATGCATATCATGAAAACATTTTAGGCATGTGCATCTCCATAATAAACATTTCAGGCAATAAATATAGTAGCCTGTCAATGATAGTAGTTCATAAAATAGAATGAATTGGACAAATGACACAATATTATTGGGCAGCACCACCAAAAACAATTAATAGGTAGTCAAGCTCAATTTTACAGAGTATTCCACAAGAGAAAGCAACATTCCAGTGCACCCATAATTGGGTCATGCCCGTCCATCATCTATCCATAGCGCCCTGTAGAATTTCAGTGAAGATGTATGCATGACATGATTAGAAGCAAATTATCTTCAGTTATTGTGCTTTTTATGTAGTGAGTGAACTTCAATACACAAGGCAAAGCAGGGCTCGAATCAAGAAAGCTAAACAAGCATTAGTACAAATCAGTTACAGGAGATATGATATTTGAAAAAAACAGAAAGTAAACAGTACTACCAGAATGATATTGCTCACTAACAAGAATCTCATGGTTTTTCTGGGTTCTTCTGGTGCTGGTGTCATGATTATTCTCAAAGATAAACTTGCTATTTGAAGCCGCAGCAACAATTAGGGACAGTAGCCTACAGTGTGTTCTGGATTCCTCAACACTAAACCTTTGAATCCACTCATAATCCCTCTTTTGATCTCCTGCACGAAACCTGACTAAATCTAAACCAATATATATGTGAATTAACTTAAATCCATGATATTGATTGCATAGTGCTATGTTCAGAATGAAAAAAAAAACACATGCAGGAATTTTGTAGACCTAATCTGGTTTTAGAGGAGCTCATTCACCATTGCTCGTGTACCCATTTATATTAGTTGAATTGTTGGAGTTAGGGTCGAATCGCTTGCAGAATGGAGAAAAAAAATCTAATGAAAAAAACATCCTGATTCAGCTGAGAGGTACTGCGCAAACTACAGTAGACGAAAGGGGCTCCACTTGGTCATCACAAATTGACTCTGAATGGGCTGGTGTGGAATCAAACGGAAATATTAGTACTAATTCCCCGATTCCAAAAATCTCTATTAGGCGTAGGAACACAGAAGAAATCGCTGCCGGAAATACTCACTGCGGGGAGAAGATGTAATCATCGAGATAGGGATGAGCTGCAGATCATTGGAGCACGAAATTGAAAATCAAACAAAAAAGAATGAAGCTCCTCCTCTTCGACATTGACACTGTAAATTGAACATGCATGTGAATTTCTGAGCGACCACATATACATCTGAATCTTGCAGGGAAAAATAATTGGAAAAAGGCTAGTTCAAATCGGGAAAAAAATGGAACATATACATCTGAATCTTGCCAGAAAAAAAATGGGGAAAAGAATTAGTCCAAGCAGCGACATTAGTAGCTTGAAAAAAAGCAGCGCATGATCGAACGCAGATGCTGCTCACCTCCAAGCAGACAGCCACAAGGCTGACATCTGGTGGCATCCCCACTGCCGGCGGAGGAGCCCTCAGCTGCATTGACCAGGCCTCCAGTACTCCAGGCAGCGAATGAGTGAGGGATCTCTGGCATTGGAGACATGCGCTATCATCAGGCCGTCGATCTGCCTCCAGCGCCTCTTGACATGGGCCTACGCGGAGATGGAGCTGCCGTTCATGGAGGGGAGCCTTGACAACGCCGGCAAATTGCTAGGGCCGCAACACACCCCTCCGATTGGAGTAAAAAATCAGGGGTTATCCAGCCACTGCCATTCGGAGGCGTTGAGATCGGATCTGGCGCACCATCGCCACCGCCTACCACCCGGCACGCCGAGGAAGCAAAAGCCGGAGGCCGCCCGCCGCTCGACCGCCCGTCGCCGACCTGCGATCCGGAAAAAACGGGGAATAACCGTGAGAAAAATAGAATGGCCAGTAAAATTTAGTAATTGAGTATATGTATAGTACGGGTGACTGTATAGTAAACAGGTTACTATGAGGAGGAGCAACCAAAAGGAGGGGGTGGGGTGTGCGGGACTGCTTGCTGGGGGTGGGGGTGGAGGCGGTTGCGTTTTAATACAACGCACCCTACGTGTAGTGTGTGTATATATTATCACGGATGGTCTCATCTGTAAGGTTCGACTAGAGGACATTAACAAAGAGGCTATGGGCTAAGGCCCTTCGCAGGTGAAGGTTACATGTGACGGGTCGATATATACATCCAACAACGATAACTTCTGTTAGGCTCACCTGTCAACCTGTCATAGCCGACCCTAATCCTGTGACGGGTTTATAAATTTAATCTGTTAGAGATAGGACAAAATAACATCAAACAACTCTCTTATTTTTACCAATCACCAGTAACAAGTGTAACCTTATCTATTCGCTCCATCTGACCGAACCATCTCTCTTCAACCCCCCTCTCTATCTCAACCCCTCACTCCAAGAATCCTCTCTCTCGATTCACTAGGCGACCGCAACACCTTCACCGCCACCAACTGCTTGCTCCGGCCGCCACCTCCGCCTCCAACATTGCATCAGCTTCCATCTCCACTGGCTCTGTTGACGGTTGTTAACTACCAATTTTGACCATCAACTGCCTTAATAAATAAAGGAAGAATTAACATTTCTTATACATATATAATTTATAATGTAGTTACACTTATATTGGAGAGAAATACTATGGATGCATGAATTATACACTGAACTAAAGGAGAAATGAGTCGGCATGCAAAGAAACACACCTCTGGTGAATCACATGCGAGTACATGGTTTGATGGGCCCACAAGTCAGCTCAAACCGACATAAAGTGGGGTCAAACCATCTGCAGCCGCCTTAGGGGCCCAAATGGTAACCTCTGGTGAAGGTCGGTGATGAGAGGCCGAACCACCCCTGACTCCTCTCATCGCCACTTTCCACATGGACGCTCCAGATAGCTCCCAAACGACGGTTACAGGTGCACTGACCTCAGTAACCGCCAGATAATGCCTCATTGGAGGCTATAAATGAGAGGATCTTCTAACTTCACAATACACACTTCAAGGAGCAAATTCTCTCATTCCATATTCTCTCTAGTAATAGTGGAGTTAGGCTTAGAATAGTCTCCGGTCCTATAGTCTCTCTCAGAAATTCTGGTATGTCTTTACTATTTTATTTTTCTTGTAAGACTATAGTTGCAACAAAGGAATTATCTTTTTATTTATTAGTGTCCATAGTTCATATACTAGTCTATTAGTCAAGTGTTCTATAAGTAGATTGTACTTTATTTATATGCTTCACTTAATTAGGCTAGTCATTTGTGCTACTCCTTTATTTTTGCAGGCCAATTGCTCTTTTGACTTTGGAATACAGTCTCACAATGAACTTAACGGATTGCACTAATTCTAACTTCTCCATCCAAAGGGTGGGAGTCCCGAGGAAATTAGTCACATTATTTATTAGCATAAGCATGATGCTTAGGTTAGTTAAATGCAGTTGGATGCGGGTATGCCGCACGAAAAGTGAGGTAGGCGGCAAGTGATGATAACCTTTTCCATCCTTTGTATTCCTCCATGCCTGGTATGATGTAAGAGTTCATAAAATACCATCACCATGCTAGCAGACTAACAGGGAGTGGTCTCTCGATAGAATTAAGTCATAGCATTATAAGTATGTACGTGTAAGTGTTTAGTGCTTATTGCTTGTAAATAGTCATTTATAGGAACATTTTCTTTGGCTAGCCTGCGGAGATAGAATTCAGTCCACCTCTCAGTCAAGAACTGCGAGGGTTCATAGCTTTGTGTGCTCTGTAACGAGCTGGAAGATGCTGACCGAATTACGTTTAAATGCCCCATATATAGCAAAGTTTCTCTAGTGTGTTATCAGTGATGCCTTTGCCTGAGATTCAAGTCCTAGCTTCTTTGATTACTTTTTCTCTGTCTGATATAATAGGCCACCGTGATAAAAACAATGGTCCTTTGATAATGCTGCTGGGGGCAGCTGCCTGAACTTTGTGGCTTAACAGAAACGACATGATCTTCCGAAAGAAAGTTTTATGCACCCCTCTGACTATTGCCTTTCGTGTGATGTTTTATATACGACCGTGGTATAAGTTGATGAAGCAAGAAGAAGAAGCGAAGGCGGAGACGATGGCAGGGAAGATCATGGAGGCTGTTCAACAAATGTCCAGAACTGGAGTCGGCTGAAGCTTTAGTTTCTTTAGATTTGTTGTTTTCCTTTCTTGGCTGTCTTTTTATCAATGGTTATGCCTTGTGTTGGGTAGAAAGAACTCTGCTTTTGTAGCTGGTCTCCCCAGCCGTAAACTGCTATAAAAACATCTCTAGCTTTCTACAAAAACTACCCGGCAAGATGTAGAAGAAACCCCTAATGCCTGGGTCTGCCAGGTCAGTGGGAGGAAGGGAAAGGAAAAAGTACACCGAAGGTCCCTCAACTTGTCATCGAGTTACAAAATCATCCTCTAACCGCAAAACCAGATACCGGGCGTCCCTCAGCTAATAAAACCATTCGCTTGAGGTCCTTTGATGGTTTTGACCCCGGTTTTGTCCGACGTGACGGCTGAGTCAACGTGGGACCCACGTGGCCCCACATGTCAAACACCCTCTCTCTCTCCCCCCTCTTCTCTCCCTTTCGCCTCTCTATCACTCTTCTTCTCCTCTATGGACCACGCCCGCGACGACGTCCTCCGCCTCTACCGCCGCCCGAACAGCCCCAGCGTGAGCCGCTCCAGTAGACCTGAGCTACCCCTCACGGCCGGACGGTCGCTGCGGCACGCACCCAAGCATCTCCTCGGCCTACCCTTGACCTGCCCCATGCAAGTGATCCTCGGCGATGATGGGAGGGCGGCGTCGACGCCGACCGCCTTGCTCTTCTTGGCGTCCTGCGCCTTCTGCCACACGGACGGTGACAACAAGAGCGCCGAGTACGCTGCCACGGCCAGCTTCTTGGCCCCGTCCCTCGGCTGCGGGGTAGCCTTCACGATGAGCCAAGTCGGCATCGGCGCCTTGATCTGGTGGCTGTGGTGGTAGTGAAGCGCCGCCGTGGAGATCAATCGATCTACCAACGTGCACCGGAGGAGGGACTTGACGATGGGGGTGAGGTCGACAACGACGGAGGTGTTCTTGCGGATGGAGCAGGCGAGGAGGAGCAGGTAGGAGGAGAGGTCGTCGGTGGAGAGGCCGAGGTAGAGTACAATGTCGAGCCGCTCCTGGAGCACCTTGAAGTAGGAGGGGAGCTCGACGGCCTCGGGCTCGCCGGCGGGGTCGGAGGAAGTAGGGCGCGAGCACGTGGGAGACGACCACTCCTTCCTCCCCTGGATCACACCCCACATCATCAACGGCATCTCGTACTCCGGCGGCGGCGCGACTGGGAGAGCGGCATCTCCATCGCCCCCATCGCCGTCGACCTTGCCCCATCGTCAATGGGGAGGAACGAGCGTGCGCGGGCATCAATGGGCGGCGGGAAGGCTCGGGCATCGCGGGCGGTGACGGGACGAGGTGGGAGAGGAGGAGGACAACGCCGCGACGGCCGGCGGTGGGGAAGCACGGCGGCAGCCTGGTGGAGCTCCATGGCGCGGGCGTGCACCGGCCGTGCGTGACGTCGACGGGAGGCGCGAGCGTCGACGGGGCGAGGCGGGAGAGGAGGAGGATGGCGCCGCGACGGCGGCCGGCAGTGGGCACGGAGGCCAAGCTCCTAGCCCTCAACCTAGCGCGGTGGTGGTAGGCGCCCCGCCTCATTGGAGAACCACACGTGACCTGATCCACTTCGGCCGCCGCCAGTCTTGGCCCCGTCGCCTACCCACTGAAGAAGAGAAAAGAGAAGAAAAGGAAAGAAATAGGAGAACGTGGATAGTCTGACATATGGGGCCCACGTGGGTCCCACGCTGATTCAGCCGCTACGTCGGATAAAACCGGGGTCAAAACCACCGTAGTACTTCAAGCGAACGGTTTTGTTAGTTGTGGAATGCCTGGTATCTGGTTTCACGGTTGGAGGACGATTTTGTAACTCGATGACAAGTTGAGGGACCTTCGGTGTACTTTTTCCGGAAGGGAAAAGGGAAGCGAAATGGTCTTTGGCTGCAGCTACTTCTGTGCTACTGCTCGGCCGAGTGGAAGGAGGAGGGGAAACAGTATAGACTTTGGTTGGGAAGAACACAAGGGTTGGGCTAGATTTTGACCCAGAGCTCAGAAGGGGATTTTAATTTGATTTTCCAATTTAATTTTTTTTATTAAAATACTTCCAATGCTCAAAGAACTCTAAGAAAAATAAATACTATGGCACTCAAAGTTATTTAAGAAAAATCCTGAAAATACTTAGACACTCAATTTTTCACAGGACCCATATACATCATGAGAAGAACAGAGACAGGCATTGCAAAGTACTGATAGGTTTTCTCCGTTTGACTATTTTTTATGTCGACAAAGCTTTCTTTTTTGAATGGAATATGTCGAGAGAGCTTTCAACGCCGATGCTTCGTCAATTATCTTTCCTATTTAAGTATAAAATCTTGTTTTATACTAAGACTATCACATAGTATTAAATTCTAATACTTTTGCATTTATTAACAGCGTTCTTATACGATTTGCTCACACGTATTTTAGCACATCATTTCTATTACAGCAAAGAAAATGAATAAAGAAAATTTGCTGATGGAGCATGGGTTCATGAGGCCATTATTAGAATAGTATCCATAGCATTAAATAAGCTGACATATAAAATAAAAAATGATGTGACAAGTGAATAAATGAGGAAAGAGAAGAAAAACATATCTTGCATAAGACATGGTTTCTATATAGCATCCAATATATCATATGAGATAATAAGTAGCATTAAATTTAAGTATGGAATAGTGGTGTTTGCATTGGAAGAGTAGTGTCTAGTACTAGTTTCTTGATGATGTAGAGTTTATAGAAATTATGTCTAGTGTCTTCGGTTGGGAATGGTCTGATAAAGCGTTGTGCCATTTATAGCTACCGCTGCCTGCAATCCTCATCTATTGTACTCCCTCCTCCCATAAAACCAACCTAAGATCAAATGTGATGTTTGTTAGTACAATAAATATTCATTGTGGACTAGAAAACGTCCTATTATCTTTTTAGATATATTTTTTTTATGAGATGAAAGGAGTAAGTTGTAACCGTAGCGGTTGTGGTAGCCGGCCAGCACAGCTGGTTGCGATCAATTCTGCTGTCCGAGTTTTTTTTTTTCAAACTATGCGACTGTTCAATGTCAGAATTAGCCGTACGAATGGGCCAAGTCAACGGTCGAACGGCCTGTGTTGTATCTTTCTTTTCTTTGTCCATATGGTATTATTTTGATCCCCCATTTGTGATTTTGATAAGTGATAACGTTGAACAAGTGCAATTGTTTCGATTATTTTAGTCTACTAGTCCCAATCGTGTGGAAAAGATCGTCTTACCGCTAGGGCTGCGTGACCACCCATACAAACATTCGTGGCAATTGAACCAACATCACGCATAATAATTTTTATCCACGTTTTCGTTATGTTAACCGACGAACTGGCCGGCTGGCCCGATTAATCATCCGATCAGTTAATTAATCGCTCGACTAAGCCTCCATGCGTATTTTTATGATTGGTGCAATTGACTTCAAATATATTTTATCATCTCAAATTGTCATAAGTGTTCATGTTCTTAATTAATTAAGATTCAGATTACACCTTTGTTTCCGTTAGCACGTTTTTTAAACCACTAAACGGTACGTTCGTACGAAAACTTTCTATCCAGGAGTTGTATTAAAATATCAAATCTATTTATTTATCAAGTTTGTTAACTACAACTTAATTAATTATATGTTAATAGTTTTTTCGTGTTTTATGTGCGTTAACTTAATCTTAATTTTTATCTTTAGCTGCTGTAGGTTGAACATATAGCAGGTCTATATATTGTGCCTCGACTCCCTTCGTATGTATCAAGAGCACAGAGGCTAACATTTAGACTGCTGCATGACCTGGTTTAGTTTCTTCATCTTCCTCTACTAGCTAGCTAATCTCCCATATCTTGTGCTCCCCATATTGATTTCCGTGCGATTTGCAAATTTGTAGAGCCCATCTCTATTGGCAAGTGCAACATCAATCAATTTGTTCGCTTTTGATCTCTAGTCCCAGGTACGATATCTGTCAACCATTCCCAATTAATTGTTTTTTTTACATAAAGAAAAATCTTGGTCCTTTTTAAAGGTACTGGTTACATATCCGTAAATAGTAACGGGATCCATTGGGTAGAAATGTGATATAGTTTATTTCTATGCCAGTTTTTATTATGGTTTGGTTATTTTTTAAAATGTATGTTTTTTGAAAGGGTAGGGAGGAGAGAACGATTGTTTTTTTTTTCTGCCGTACCCCTAAGTTTAATCTCCGTGCAGCCTGATGTGCTGTCCTCTCTTCTCTTCTGATCTTCCCAATTATTTTTTCTGCGTGTTCGCATCTGCTCGGGAATTTAATATCTGATTACTTTGCCCCCTTAGAATATTCAAATGGCTGTTTGACTTCGTTTAATTTCACATGTACCAGCCAAATATCTGTGTGTTGCAACGAAAATATTAATTTTTCAAAACAGAAAAAATACATTGTTGTAGAAGAAAATATTAATTTCTTCATCTTAACAACAAAATAGAAAAATATCATAGTTTTCAGGATAACCAGATGTTTTAACATGATTGTAAAATATTTACTTGCTACTAAGATGAAGAAATTGTGTTGTCTATCTCAATTTTAAATTACAATAAAAATAAAAAAATGTGTAATTGTATATTTTTGCAGATAAATGTGTTTTGTAGCTTCAAATATTTTTAAAGTACACAAAATATTTACTATACTTCATTTCTAAATGTTACCCAAAACCATAAAAAATCGATCTAACGAAGGTATTAAGGTAAAAAAGATACAAATTTTAGGTCTAGCTGAGAACCAACTGGCTAATAATAATGAGGGTTGAAATATAAATTTCTCTTTTTTTCCCTAGTGCATATGACTAGTTTAATATAGTAAGTCTTCTGAAACTTTTTTGAAGGGTCTTGTAATGGGGTCTTCGGAGCTAAGGTCGCCGGCTTTGAAGTTGTCCATAGCTTGCCCCAAGCTCACACCAGCAGCATCTACCTTTCCAGCGGCAGGTACCAGATCTGATATATAAGGGCAGCTACACATAGCTAGAGTTAATATCATGGTTGCAATGACATTATTCCGACTGAAATTGTTGATCGTCTGACTGAAGTTGCATGTGTTTTAAGAAACAGTAAATTTTGTAAAACCCCACTTATTATGATTCAAGTTGCACAAAAACACAAGGATTTTAGCACATGACACATAACCCTAAATATTATGGTCTAAAAGATTCACAAAACCACACCAGTATACTCATATATGAAAATCAAGAATACTTTATTTAAAAAATGTAACATTTATATGATGGATAAAAAACTCAAATTTGAGATGTTGGTGAAGGACTTTAAAGTGTGGTAGATTAAAGTCCAAATTATCAACAATGTGGTTTGTGAAACTTTATGGCCATAATACCCTGGATTATATGCCATGTGCTAAAACCGCTATCGTTTTTTTGCAAGTTAGACCATCATACCTAGGGTTACATGAAATTTATTCTTTAAAAAACTAGAAAATCTTTGTTTTGGCAAAGACAATAATTTTTATTAGTTCCTATCTTTTCATGATAATTAAGATGTCTTTTCTTTTGGATGACATGAAAGATGCGCATGCACACACATCACACAACCAGCGAGCTTGAAGCTATAGCATCAACACACTTCACACGTGCTTTACCTAGGAATATGAATGTCCACAAAACACAAACAAATTATTTCTACACAATTATTGACCTTTTAGTTCCACTTGGGTTCATAGTAAGTGCAAGGTACAACTTTGATCTTTTAAATAATTTCGTATGCATACGCATGATTGCTAAAGTAAACAATTGGATTTCAGCAATGTTGTCACAATAATAGCTCACAATATTTGTTTGTGAACATTTGTTATTGGGAACTGATGTAAATCACATCTTTATTCACATCAAAAGTAATTCAATTGACTTCATGGTTTAATTAGCTGATGAATTCCTAATTTTGCCTTAAGCATCCAACTACTATCAGCTTGATGAACTGCTAACAGAAGAGGAAAAGGATTTACAAATGAATGTCCGACAGTTTATGGAGAAGGAAGTTGCTCCAATAATACCCAAGGTTGATTACACTTAATGGGTTAATATAGACCCTTTTTTGTTTATTTTTCCTGTTGAGTTTAATATACCACATTTTGTTTGTTTTTCATGTTGATTCTAGTAGTTCTGGGAGAAGGCAGAATTTCCGTTACATCTTATTCCAAAGATGGGTTCTCTCGGAATTATTGGAGGGATTATCAAGGTACATCTAATATTCTAATGTCGGCACTTCCGCTGATATCCAATTTGTCCGCGTGGCACCCTTAGTCTTAACGTTTTAGTTCAATGGTAATTTTCCAAACTGTGCTGTCACGTGTAATAATTTGCTCGCATCCTTCTCGATTTCTTGCGTAGTTGCTTTAGCACGTTTTCGCATGGGCCAAAAACTCCGTAATTTTGACAATTCAACCCTTTTAAAAAACTTATTTGAAAATTAGTCTGTGTCAAAAACTTATTGCAAAAATAGACCAAAACCTCAGCGTCAACGGGTTTGGCGTTGAGCTATAACGTCTCAGCGCCATAAATTTTTATGCTAAAGCCTACCGAGCTGGACGCCACGTCATTGGTGGTCAGCGCCAATTCTAAGTGAATACCTGTATAGTATTGTTTGCTTGCTGTAGTGGTTGGAGTTAGATTTGTACTCAGTAGGTCATGGGTTCGAGCCCTTGTACTGCACCTTTTTTTTCTTCGTAAAAATTGAAATATCGAGAAGAAGTATATTTATTTTATATTACATTATATAATGTTTAGCTTAATAATATCTATAAATTACTAACAATGATCAGGAGACCAAGTTGTCAAGTGGGAAAAAAATTGAAATATCGAGAAGAAGTATATTTATTTTATATTACATTATATAATGTTTAGCTTAATAATATCTATAAATTACTAACAATGATCAGGAGACAAAAGTTGTCAAGTGGGAAAAAAATTATGGAGTCGAACACACAACCTTATGAGTGAGCAAATAAAGTCCAACCACTATACTAGCACACCCTTGCTATTTACTAATGTCTATAGAGGTATTTAGCCAGTAGGGAGCTCAGCGCTAGTCGCATTGACGCTGAGTTCCAATGACCTAGCAAACACTGCCCGTTCGGATAGATGTTTAGCGCTAAAATATGTGGCGCTAGCACGTTATAGCTCAGCGCTAATGTGCTTGGCGCTAAGGTTTCGGCTTATTTTTGCAATCAGTTTTTGATACGGCCTATTCTTCAAATAAGTTTTTCAAAAGAGTCAAATTGTCAAAATTTCGGCCAAAAACTCCCATGCATGCATTCCAGTTATGTGAGCCAGGCCAGCCATGTGTTGGGCCATAAGCCTCTAAAGCACATCCATGTAGTAAACATGTGCCCAAATATATCCAACAGCATAAAACAACAGTACAATGGATAGTGACGGAGCGTGGGGCTCCTCACCGGGAGACCGCGCAGGCCCCCCTTTGCCGGTTCGGCCGGGGGCGCTAAGTGAGGTTCTTCGCCCTCGATCTGAGGAACGTCAGCGAGAGAGGAAACGCACAAGACACGGGCGACGTAGACAGGTTCGGGCTGCTGAGAAGCGTAACACCCTATTCCTGTGTTCTGGTGGATCTGTGTGTGAAGGAATACAGAGCGCCGGAGAGCAAGAGAGAGTTCCGGCTCTAGAACCCCTCTTCTTCTCCTTCTTCTTTTTTCTTCTCCCCCTCTCTTTTAGGCCTAGGCCTCCTTTTTATTTGATCAGGGGTCACCACATGGGCCTCTAGCTGCCTAAGAAAGGAAACATGCTTTTTACAATGAGGGCTAGTCTACAGCCGGAAATGACTTCTGACAAGCAGAGCGCACGCCTCCTGCCCCGCTCGCCCGCTTTTCCCGGTGGACGCCCATTTCAACCTTCATTTAATGGCTAGCGACTTCCTTGCCATGCTTGCGCTGAAATCTGGAATGAATCTGACCGGAACTGACATACCAACTTCAGGAGTCAGCACGCCGGCTCCGGCTAGGGACGAGAGCCAGGAAGCTCTCGTCATTCCGACGGGACGGGGCGAGGCGTGTGACAGGCCGCCTGTTGCCACCTAACCCGCGATCTGACCGGTCTGTGACCGGTCACACACCGCGACTGGTCACGGACCGGATAAGCGTGCGCTGCGCCGCATTAAATGCGGCATGGCGCGCTCGTCCAACCCGCTATAAGTGCGGTTAGGTGAGCCCCGCTGTGCTCACCTAACCCACACACGTGGCGCCAAAACCACAGGGGGTCGGGGGCGCCCCATCCCTCGGGGCCGAAACGGGAGCGGCCCGACCCCTCGGGGAGACAGAGGGAGGGGTGGCCACGTCACCCTCGGGCCCGACCCCCCGAGGGGGTCAGGCCACGTGGGTGACCGCGGCTGCCCAAGCCTCTAGTCACGATACCCCCAGCCCCATGTCACCGACAGTAGCCCCCGGCGTTATGCCAGGGCGATCGCCCCCCTCGAGGGAAGCGCTCGGGCGTGACGCCACTCCTTAGGCCCGGTGACAGGTGGGGCCGGTCCCTACAGGCGGGCAGAAACCCAGCGGTCGCAAATCGCGCGCATCGGCAAGGGAAAACCGACCGACAATAATGAGCGGCCTCTTCAAGACCGCTACATTATTCGAGTAGCGCGCGAATCGGGACGAGCCGGTTCGTTTCGCCTGGAGACATGATGATAGCGCTTTCCGCGGTTGGTGAGCGTAGTTAATGCGCGCACGATCTGCCCCATCTCAACCGCCACGGCCGCACATTTGCCGCGTGCGCCGCAGACGGGCGAGTGGGGTTAGTGGAGGCGTGGGCGCGAAAAACGAGGGGGCGAGGTAGTGGGCGCGGGAAACGAGGAGCCGGGCATAGCGTTGGCAAGGGTGTAAAGACGCCGAGGAAGGGATTTGTTTCCTTCCTCTCGCCACTCTTCCCCTTGCCTTCGCCACTTGCGCTTTAACTCTTCGTTTCCTGTGCCCTACCCTTGCTGCACTTACTCGCTCTCAAGCTCCTCCTCCGCCGGCGTCATGGCACGGGGCTCCGCACCGCTCGATGGTAGCGTGCTGCCGCCTTCCCGCATCGTGAGCGAGAGGCAGGCCGGGCTGCCGCGCCGATTTATGCCGGAATCTGCCACCGGCCGGGAGATGGTCGCGCTGGGCGAGGGACGCCCGGCGCCAGACTACCCGGGGCGGTCCGTCTTCTTCCTCTCTTTCGCAATGGCGGGGCTGGTCCCGCCATTCTCTAATTTTTTCATGGATATTCTGGAGTTTTATGATCTCCAGATGGCGCACCTCACCCCCAACGCGATAATGACGTTGGCCATCTTCGCGCACCTGTGCGAGATGTTTATCGGGGTGCGCCCATCTCTCCGGCTGTTCCGGTGGTTCTTCACCGTACAGCCGGTGTCGCCGCCGACGGTAGTTGGTGGCTGCTACTTCCAGTCGCGGGGGCAGGTGCTGAACCGCTACATTCCCTGCGTCCTCCGCAAGAAGTGGGACGACTGGAAGAGCGATTGGTTCTACACCCCCCTCGCCGACGAAGCGCGCCTCCGACTTCCGAGCCAGCCTCCGGCGCAGGCCTCCAGCTGGCGGGCGGCGGTAGATCTGGGAGACGGCTACGACGCCGTTCTTGACCGCCTGGCGGGTCTGCGATCCCAGGGGCTCACGGGGGCCATGGTGTTCGGCGACTACCTTCGTCGCCGGATCGCGCTGCTCCAGCGGCGCGCCCGGGGCGCCTGGGAGTACACCGGGCCCGAGGACTACATGAGGACCCACCAGGGGCGCAAATGGGACTGGGACCCTGAGGACTTCAGGATGGTGGTCCAACGGGTGCTGAATCTCAGCTCCGTGGAGGCATCCCTCATCCCCCAAGGGGTCCTCCCCCTCTGCTGCGATCCAGAGCGCGCCAACATCCTGACCATCATGCAGGAGGTCGGGGCGTCGGGGGAGCGGGCCCCCCGAGGCCATGATGGCGCGGGCGGAAGCCGCAGGGGGGAACAATCTAGCCCGGGAGGGGGTCGTGCTTCTGGGCCCCGCGACGGGGGCCCGGGGGGCAGCCGCCCTGCCGACGCCCGGGGGAAGAGGAAGCAGGAGGGTACCCCTCCCCCATCTCCTCCCCGAGGGGGCGGGGCGGTGCGTGCCAGCAGCAGGCGCCCGGAGGGTGCCGTGCCGACGCCGCAGCCCGAGGGGGAGCGAAAGAAGAAACGGCTCCGCAAGATGGGGGGGACCGAGTCATGCCGGGGGAACCTCATTTCGCCCCCGAGGTGGTCGTTTAGCCGACCTCCCCGCAGGTTCGTCCCCGCGCCCACTGCGGCCGTATTCACTCTCCCATTTCCCAAGGCGAGTTTTCACTCACCCGTTTCTTTTTGTCTTCTGGTTTTTCTTCTGCCTCAGCGAAATCCCGTCGCGCCCCCCCGCCATTCCAAGTCCGGCCGGTCTGAGGCCGAGGAGACGGCGACCGCGGAGGCCCGGAGGCGGGAAGCTGACCGGCGAGAAGCCGCGGACCGCCTCTGGGAAGCCAAGGAGGCTGCCCAGGAGGCCGTCCGGGTTCGCCAGGCTGAGGAGGCCGCTCGGGAGGAGGCCAGACTCCGCCGGGCTGGGGAGTCCGTCCGGGAGACAGAGGCGGCGCGCGCACGCCAGGCGGCCTGCCAAACCCCCGACCCGACTCCGCCCGAGGCGACGACGACTTCCGAGGCCACCCACGACGAGGCGCGGGCGCGCCGCTCGGGCACGACCCCTCAGGCGACGCTTGGGACGAGCCAGCTTCGGGGGACGCCCCCGAGTCCGGCACGTCGATCGGCGGGCCGAGCCGCGCGGCACCCACACCGAGGCGGCTCTCCCCTCTGCCTTCCGCTGCCCCATTGAGCGCGGAGCCCCTCCTGCAGGCCTCGGCCGCCGCGAACAACACGGTGCTGGACGGGTTAAGTGCCCAGATGGAGGCCCTGCAGGCGTAGCGGGCGGAGCTCGACGCGGCGTGGGCGCGCGTCGAGGAGGGGCGGCGCTCGGTGGAGGCCATGGTGGAGGCGGGCCGCAAGGCACACCGCCAGCACGCCTCACAGCTCGAGGCCCGTCGTAGGGAGCTAGCGGAGATCGCCAGGGAGGTGGAGGAGGAGCGGGAGACTGCCCTCATCGCCACCGCCGTGCTCAACGAGGCGCGGGATGACCTCCGCCTCCAATGCGGGAGCCGGGCGGCGGAGCTAGAGGAGAAGCTCGACGCCGCCCGGGGAGTCCTTGATGC